ACGTTGATTTATTAGGAAACTCCAATTTACGGACAAGACTTGTAAATCTATTTATGCCCTATATATTAAAGGAGCCCACTATAGTAACTGCTACTTCGTCCACATGCATTAATAACATTTTTACAGATCTGATACCACTTTCAAAACGGATAATTAACGAACTACTCTCAGATCATTTTGAATAATTAGTTTAATTTCCGCATAAATGCACGTTTGTGACTAGGAGAGACATCACAGTTGTGTCAAAAAGTACGCGTCGCTTGTTACGTTTTAAAAATCAATTAGATAGTAAATTGTGTCATTTGAACATAAAAGTAATCTCAATGATTTGTACAAAGATTTCTTTGACATTTCTTGTAAGGAATTCAATAACATTTATGTCCCAAAAAATAGATTACTAAATCCTATAACTTTTAGTGTTTGGGCTACACTAGGAATCTACAAAAGCAGAAAAAGGCTCTATGAACTATATGATGAACGTAACTATAACACAAGTGTGGACTCCAAAGAACATGTACGTAATTAAAGCAAATAATATGTACAAAATCATAGCTAAATATAATTATTTAAATACAAAAATTAAAAATAGTTAAGATAAAGTAAAATGACGTGGAATATAATAAATAGTGAAAACATACTTCTACAAAAATAACCTTAGGAATCGAAAACGCTCAACAACCGAAGCCGGTGTCGAGTTAATACAAGAAATTTTTAATTACTGGGAGGATTCAAATGTGTTAGGTGTTTTTTGTGACCTTTCTAAGGCATTTGACTGTGTGTTTTCATTAAACATTGATTAGGAAACTTCATTATTATGGATTTAGAGATAACTCATTGGATTATATTGTCTCATACTTGACTGACAAAGTGCAAAGGGTTTATATCGATGGCAAAAGATCCCCTGGATCGAAATTTAAGTTGTTCCACAGGGCTCAATATTTGGTCCTTTCTTGTTTTTAATTTACATAAATGATTTGCCTTATTTCGTAAGGCATAATCATGAAATAGTTTTGTTTGCGGTTAACACTTCACTTTTGTTTAAAATTAAAAGAAGGCTACCTCTAAATGACGATGTGAAAAATTTTTCTCATAAGATTGCACAATCTGCCACAAATCTCCTCCACACAAATTGTATCACTTCAATTGTATGTGGGCCGGCCGGAAAGTAGAGCGTACTTTCGATTTTCTGTTCAGAAAATCAAGGAGCGATATCAGTTGCGCAATTTCACATGCACGGGGACTAATATTCAAATCATCAAAATATATTCAATTTGGCAATTAATACGGCAATATAAACAAATATAAACTCGATGGTATAGTGGTTAGCGTGTTTGATCTCTGTTATTGTGGAGGTTACGCAACGATCGACGAAAGGCCGGTAATAGAATGGGTGGTCAGTTTTTTACGGAACTATTTACGATGACCCTGTTTTACCCAGTACCAATTATTTGGTAAATTTCATCCATTAAGAATACCTGTGCTTTAGCACAACCAATCCGCATTGAGACCTGCACGTGGGCCCAATTAGGAATGTTGGGTGGTTAGGTTCATCCATTTAGAACATATGTGCTTTAGCAAAACCGATCCGCATAGAGACATAATATATATCGGGCCTAGTCAGAAATGCCAGGATGGATGGAGAGCTCATTTGATCTGCGAATTGGCTGGGTAGCATATTTTTTTTAATGTTATTAAGCTTCGGCTTGGTAAAATGTAGAAAAACAAATACACAACAAGAGAAGAAAAGAGAGCAAAAGCCGCCGCACCCCACTCCACCCCGCACCTCCCCGGCTCGTCTCGCAACGCCTATCCTGCTCCACCACGCTCAACTAATTATTGTCGCTGAGCCTGCAAAAGTCGCTATGAGATTTTTCTAAATTTTTGATTTTTTATATAATTTTGATGTGGTATCAGCCCCTATAAATAGGAGGTTAGCCGTCCCGGCATTCTTTGAGCGACTAGTAAACAGAATACGAGAGCGATCGGAAGCGAAACTCGAAACAAAAACCAGTAAAGTGAACTATCGGGACGATCGAATAATCTTGTAAAGCAAGAATAGTGACGTGAATTGTAAAGTCGAAGAATTGTGGATTTTATTTGTACCGGGGAGTCCGAAATGGTAAATGAGAGTGACTGTACAGTTTTACAATTTATTAATAATTATAATTAATATGGGGGTGGGCTCGTATCATTATTTGCTTTTAAATACATTTAACATATCTTTGTTTCAAAGTGTTTAATCTTTTATAGATGTAAGTATAAGGACACTAAGAAGGATAAAAAATGAAGCATTAATTAATAAAGGAAAATGGGACACTCCTGGGAAAAAACGACCTCATCAACCAACAGTGTCTGCTTTAGATAATTTTGATTTAAGTGCAATTCGGAATAAAGTAAATGAATTTTACTGTGTGAAAAAAATTGTTCCAACATTAAGAAGCCTTCACAATGAATTAAAAGATGCAATAGGATTCAGTGGTAGCCGTGAGACTTTACGAAAAATTATGCTTAAGAATGGATTTTCTTTTAAAAGCAATGAAAATGAACGTTCTATGCTTATAGAAAAATACCAGATTTCTGCATGGAGGCACAAGTATTTGAGAGAAATAAATATAAAACGAAACGAAGAAAAGCAAATTGTGTACCTTGATGAAACTTATGTACATCAGAATTATAAAGTTAAAAAGTCTTGGCAAGGACCTTCAACAACTGGTGTCACTACAAAGATATCCTCTGGAAAACGGCATATTGTTGTGCATGCTGGATCTGAGGAAGGTTTTGTGCCTGGTGCATTATTAGTGTTCAGTAGTAAATCCAAATCTGCTGATTATCATGATGATATGAACTCATCGAACTTTATGAAATGGGTCAGAGAAAAATTAATACCAAATTTAAGTAAGCCCAGTGTAATTGTTATGGATAATGCCAGCTACCAAATAAAACAAATCAATAAACCGCCTATAATGTCTAATACCAAAGCAGATATCCGTAAATGGCTTGTAAATAATGGAATACATTTTGAGGAATATCAGACAAAGGCAGAGTTAATGTGTTTGGTTAATGATAAGAAAACATTGCCTGTATATGAAGCTGAAGAGATTTTAAAAGTACATAATCATGAACTTTTATTGCTGCCACCGTATCATTGTGACTTAAACCCAATAGAGATGGTTTGGAGTCAAGCAAAAAGAAAAATTGCAAGCAGAAACTAATTCGTCGATCGGATGCGCAATAATAAATTCGAGAATACCACTGATCCAAAGCTTCGTTATATCCAATCGGCCTTGCCGTACGGGTGCACCCTGGTATACCAGTGTGCACCGTATAAAGCTATAGCTTAACAGCGGGTATTTCTATATTGTTCAATGCATCAGTGAAACTGCAGCCGAGGAGATGAAGAAGCGACGCGAAGCTACAGGTGCAGATGGTAAACTAATTGCATGAAATAATTATCAATAATGAGCCAAATACAATTTGAATAATGAAAATTATTACAAGTAGATATTCATAAAAAAACAATTCTTACAAATTTATTTCGTGAGACCTATTTCTGTAATTGCTTTATTAATAAACGTATTTAAACTTAAAACAGTAGAGGTCTCACGAAATACTGTCTACTAAGTACTTATTTCTAGATTAATCTAACAATAGGTATCCACTATGTTTTAATTGACAAGATTAATGATGAAGGTCGCTCAATTCAACATAACACATATAAAAACATTAAAATCTTTATAGACAAATATACAAAGAAAGCAAGTTCAACTGTATGATGAAACTATGCCATATAAGTGAAGGTGACCTTTAGTAAAAATGAGTGATTTGCATTGCACAACTAAAACTACAGCAAGAAAATTAAATTATGTTTATAAGGTTTCTTTGCAACACTTACCCTTAATATGGAGTATAATTAGCACAATAACTGTATTTAAATTAAAGTTAATATTAAATTTCAGTAGCAAGCAAATCATATTAGAAAATAGTTCAACTGACGAAAATCCGTCTTAACTCTGCGGTAGTATAAAAATTGTGTCTCGCCGATTTTTATACTACCGCAGAGTTAAGACGGATTCTCGTCAGTTGAACTATTTTCTAATATGCATGCAGGTTCGGTCGATGTGCGAGTGCACGAACAATAGGTTTAACATACAAGCGCTTTTGTCCTGACTGCCTTGGAATTTATTTATTATTAATATTGATTGAATTATATATGTAGATATATTTTTTATTTAATTTTCAGTTGTTATTATTTAATTATAAGATAGTATATGTTTATTTTGTTAATACATGTATTATTTTGTTCATTGTTCTTTTTTCTTTGTTGTTAGATTAGGATTATATAGTTATGGCTTTAGTAATTTTAAAATTGTTACTGTTGTTAATAAAGAAGTAAACCGTTACATGTTGTAAAATATTTTTTTAGATTAGGATTATATAGTTATGGCTTTAGTAATTTTAAAATTGTTACTGTTGTTAATAAAGAAGTAAACCGTTACATGTTGTAAAATATTTTTTTGTGATTTTATTAAGTATATAAAGTCTTATTGTGAATTTAATTGGCGTTGACTTTTATCCTGAATACATGAAGTCGTAACAATATATGAATTTACTTTTACACATGAAAGAAAACTGAAAAGGTTGTCATGGAGAAATCAAGAAAGTACCGTAGCAACAAATTTTTCTTTAATACTATCTTAAAAAAATAGTTTCCAAAATCAAACTTCATGACGTATTTTATATCTAAGTTTCGAACTTTTCAAATTTCAGTCTTTTAATATGTTATTTAAAAAGAACGGAAATGACTATCTTTGGACCATTTGTTTCCTGCAATAATCAACTTTTGCTAGAGTCGGCATCTAGTGAGGAGATTTAGTTTTTTTAAATACTTCCTCATTATATCCATGACATAAACTAAACAATAAACAAACGTATATCATAGACAACGATAAATGGCGATATATTGACATTTGACATTGACGTATGTCTTGCGTTATTGGTGTTTCATTTGTTGCGTAGGGTGAGTTATCGTGATATTCGCGATCGCGAAAAGCATTTCCTGATAATTCGTACGTCACTGACTTTAACTAAATGAAGAGTGTTTTTTAGTCGACTTATACTTGTTTACGTTTGGTTACAACAAGTAAAGTAATCTCAACTTCAACAAGTTGTATAATATTCACTTGAAATTATGAGTGAGCCAGCAAAACAATTCGAACTGAACTCTGCAGAATTATCAAATGCTGCTGCTGTGCCAGATTTTAACACTGGGCACGTGTCTTCATTTAGAAATCCTGTACCATCAACATCCACAGCAAATGTTGGAATGATGGGACCACCAGCATTACCACCACGACCTGATATGGGAATGCAAATGCAAAGTTATGGGATGAACCAAGGATATTCTTATGGAGGAATGGGTGGATATGGCATGGGGAATTATGGAGGACTAGGGAGCTATGGAGGATTCGGTGGCTATGGTTACGGTATGGGTGGTATGGGAGGCATGGGAATGTCTCCCTATGGTGGATTTAATCGAATGGGACCAATGTATGGCGACATGGAGAGTAGGTACGCTTTTCATTTATGTGATACCTAATATTTCCTGTATTGTCTATTTACTTCTTGAAATTGAAAAGTAATTAGATTATTTTTATCTTAGTTTCTATTTGCGTATGATAATTTATGTGTCATTTTAATGATAAAATATGTTGACCTTTCCTATGTCTATATTAACATTTTGTAACTAAGTAGTCATGACTAAATTATAATTGTTAATTACCCACAGTGAATACCATTTCATGTACTTATTATAATAAGATTTGACTTCAGTCATGTGTTCTAAAGGTCATAGTCTATGTAGGTAGAGTGAAGCTTTTTATAAACAAATAGCCTCTTTTGATACTATTTCTTCTGCATTAGGTATAACTTATGTCACCAGTATGAAGTAGCTTCCCATAAGTGAATTTTCATATCGGTCCAGTAATTTTGTAGCCTATTAAATACAAACTAGCAAATCTTAATTTTTTGTAATATTAGTATATTTAAGAGTAACAATTGAGATATTTTCTACTGCAAAAGTAGTAATTACTCTGTGTTGCAATGTCATAGAAGGACAATCAAAATCATTTTTCAGTTTATGATATTATAACGGATACACATATTAATATTTTGAATGTGAATCAAAAAATTTTATATATGTTTTCAGATTTATACAACTTGCAGAAGAAAATTCAAGGCCTGCTTTTGACTCAATACAAAGTTTTGTGAATGCTGTTGGTAGTGTTGCCATGATGCTTGAAAACACATTTTTTGCTTTAACAAGCTCTTTCAGAGCTATTTTAGGTAATTTTTACTGTAATTAATTGGATATAAAATGACATAATAAAACATTGTTATTATAAAGTTATATTAGATATATATATACTTATGATAATTATTCAAAATATGTTAAGAAATGTAATTCTTTAATGTTTTTAATTTCATTTAAAGGGATAATAAACACAGAAATAAAACTTGTGATGTTAAGAAATTTAATTATTTTTAGGGGTAGCAGAAAACTTTGGCAGGTTGCGATCGTTGTTTGCACAATTCTGGTCAACATTTGCAGTAGTCCGTAGTTTAAACTGGATGATCCGGAAGCTCTTAGTAATAATGGGCATTCGTACAGAGAATGAATTTAAGGTAAATTAAATCTTTTATTTGAATGAATACTAAACTGCCTATGTAATGTTTGGATAGCTAATTGATGTTGGCAACTTTTTGGCCATTGTTCTTAATCATTTAAGCCAGGGCTTACAATCCCACAGCCTGTAATCAATCTTGCTATTTGCGGGCCTTGAAATATTATATTTCGCGTGATCCCAGTATTTGGGGAATCCCGTTTTTTTGTAACTCAAAACTGAAATAAAAACCAAAAAGGTAACTAATTATGAAGTTTAAGTTATTACTTAGGTTGTTATATCTGTCAGTCGAGTGATCACTGAGCGTCACCGAGTGATCGCGCTCGCGAGAGGTTTCATGTCTTTCAAATCTTGCGGCTCCCGCGCCTGTAATCCTTCAACACGGTAGTGGAAGAAAGTTACGGGTTCCCGCAATACCGAGATCTTGGTACTCTGACATTGGAACCCCTAGTGTATGCTGTTTTATGTTATTATTCATACTTATTGCCATAAATGTTGGACACTTTTCCATTCTTAAGTCGGATGAACCATTTTGTCTTTTGGTAATTAAAGGAAATTAAACAATGAAACATTTCTAGCTCATTTTATGTTTTTGCACAAAACATTTATCAACTTGACTTCTTCCCAAAAGATAACCTTATCTACTTGTTATACATAGTATCTTTATTTATCAAATTTATATGATGCCACAAATAGTAAGATTTATTCTCATGGAAATAAATTTTATGAATATTTGTTGCTTATCCGCCATGTAAGTATATGTTATGTTTATTTATCTTTTTATTATTTGTCGTGATAATGTCTTTGTTTTAATGACTACATTGAAACTCCGTGAAACCACAGTTTTATTGTTTGCTAATTATATATTCAACAATGTCTTTATTATAGAGTTGCCAAATCAAAAAACAGGGCTAGTATATAACTCAGTAGCGTAATAACTATAGGCTAGTATAAATAGTAAGAAAGAGAAAGATGGCACTGAGTGACAATAGCAGAAAGAAACATTACAGTGTGGCAAGTTCCGTTGTTTTAAATAAAATAAGGTCCCGTTTTACCCTTTGGGTACGGAAATCTAAAAAAATCGTGTATTGAAGTAATTCTACAGAAGTCTATCAGGGCACCATTATCCTTAGAAAGTCTAGCTTTAAATTCAAAGAGTTAAATAATATAGGATGGCTTTTAACTTTAACTGTTAGTTATGTAAAATTTTATTTATTTATTTTATTTGTTACACATGACAGAATTACAACAATATACATAATCAAGCAATAAAAAAGTTAGCAATCAGATGTAGGCTGCAATTCCACAAATATGCGTAAACAGCATGCACAATCAGAGCAACAACATTAAAATCAAAATAGTTATAATATTTTTTTCCAAATTAAAAAGCATTTTATCTTTTACATTAATTAAAATAACAATAATAATAGTAATTATAACCCCATTCATCACATATAAAAAAAGGAAAAAAAAATCATTACATTATCTATCATTTCACATTTCATTGACAAAAGATAAAACATCAATAAAAAAAAACAATAAAGATGATTTAGATAATAATAAAAAAAGATGGATTTAGCTTATGATTCAAAATATCGATTAAAATTGTTCCTAATGACCCTTAGCTTTTTGAGTTGTTTCGAACTGCACGTTGTACAGCAATAAAAGAGATATAAGATAAGACGGTTTTCCAAATAGAGATTATTACGCATTTTTGAAAAGCTATTCAGAGAGGCGATCTTTGTGACGGCACATAACCTGTTAAGTTACGTTTAGCAGCTTCAGTGAAATTCATTTTATAAGGCGGGGTCGCTTAAGAACACGTCCACCGTCTTACCTTACTGGTAAAAACTAAAATACGTTTACAGCCCCAACTTCTTAGTTATCCATCGCCCGCAGGATTGCAAATTAAACGTCTAGTTAGTTAGCTAGTTGTCTAGTTATATCAAGCGTTATATCAATATGAGTAGCTCGGTGGCGTAGTGGATAAGCGCCGCGGCCCGCGATCGTAGTCGTGAAGCAACTTTCGCAAGGGTCGGTCACGGGATGGGTGACTAAAAAATTATTATCTCGAGCTACTCCGTGCTTCGGAAGGCACGTTAAGCCGTTGGTACTGGCTGCATTTGCAGTCGTTAATGCCCTCCAATCCGCATTGGGCCAGCGTGGAGGGTCATGGCCCATCCTCCTTAACCATCCATAAGGAAGGCCTGAGCCCCTGCAGTGGGGACGTAAAAGGGCTGGTGATCAAGCGTTTGGGTTTCAATAACCCATGCTTTCTTAAACAACACTGGCAATCAAAAGTTATACACACTCATATTGTTATCATTAAAACATTTCGCGATATGATACTTTGCCGTCATTTTAGGCATGGGCGGAAGCGGTGGCGGCGACAAAAAATGGCGGCGCTTCCGGTGAGCAGCGCGCGCGCGGCTCCAGCTGGCCGATACTCATGTTCTTCGGCGTGGTGGTCGCCGCGCCGTACCTCGTGCTCAAGATGCTCAGCGGACTCAGCTCCAGCATCAACGAGAGGCGTGAGTTATTTATCTGTTCTATTTAGACGTTATTATTAGGTTTGCTATTGCATTTAATTAATTTTAAGAGTCCCCAGAGACTTCTCGCTACTACTGCCACATATTGAAGATTGATTTTGTATAAACTGTTTGAATATACTAAATAATAAATAAAATAAAATTCAGTCCCATCCTAACGACGTTGAATTTAACGAGTTCTCAACGCACGAGGATAGAGTTCGACAACTACTCCCGAAAACCAACCTATGGGGTAATCTGACGTGCTGCTGTAATTTCCTCTAAAACAGTGATCATATAATATTATAATTGCAGTGAACGACCCAACCACATGGCAGAACCCTTTGAGGGCAGTAGCACAACATGACTTCCAAGCGTCTTCACCGCAGGAAATAAGCTTCTCGGCTAACCAAATCCTCACAATAGCACCACAACATCTCCAGCCCCAGCTGTGGAACTCCGGCTGGCTGATGGCAACCAAAGACAGACAGTCTGCTGGCCTCGTACCGGTTAACTATATTAAAGTTATAAGACCTACTCAGGATGGTGATCAAGCAAACAATACCATGGAGAAGACTGAAAAAATTGAACCGAGCATAGATAATTTGGAAAAATATTATAATCAAGAGTTATAAGTAGCTTTGGGATTCATGTAAGTGATTATAAGTATTATGATAGGCTTGATTTATTATTTTTGTGGCTGTGCAGAGGTAGAAGAACGAAAAATTCCTCAACTGCATGAAATACGTATGGCACATAAATATGTAATATATCGTTGATTTCTTAAATGGGTTTTCAACAGTGAAAATTCATTGCTTAATTATTTTTGACTGTAAATAGATTTTACGTTTGGGGTATATGTAAAATAGAAATAATTTATCTATGATTTGAACTATCGTGCGGAAATCTTTGCCGTCGTCATGGCGTTTCGGTTTGTGACGTCACTTCGTTAGTAAACAATACAACTATAATTTTTAATTTACCGCTAGATTTTAGCCATTTTGACTAGTGTTTTAATTGTGATGTTTTTATTTTATTCCAAAAAATGTCTTCATTTAATAGTAAAGTTTTGAACTATTGAATTGTATACTTTATTATTAGGGCAGCAATAATGATTTATCTTTACTGCAAAATTATTAACAGATGCATCATCTGTAGGAGACTGGTATTAAAGCTATTTTTATTAGAATATTAGGCCGACCTCGGCCTATATCGCATTTAAGGATCTATCCATATCTGACGGAAGATATGACGCGTAGACAACCTTGCACAATTGACTGAAATTCCGTCGGGTATTATTGCATACTTCCGTGAGACGCTCGACTTGATCTTCTGTCAGTTTGCACAAACTTTTATTTGGTTGTATTAAAATTCTTTTTAAGCAGAATGTATGAATGTGTTATTATTATTTTAGTTTTACCACATCTTTTAGAATCTTTTGGTCGGGTTCTGTTATTTTGATTTTTTCCCGAAAATTGGGTAATCCTAATTCTAAATTACATTAAACGGTGCCTATTGATAAATGTATTGATAGAACTGTAATTAAGACGATTAGAGAATATTGAAGGCAATAATAATCTAGGTATTTCTCACTGAGAATTTATTATAACTAATTTGTCCTTTCCCAAGACCAGTCAGGTTTAGACGTATCGGACAGACAGTTACTTTTGCATTTACAAATATAGTTCTTGTCATGGCTCCGAACTGGCATAATTTTATTTGTGCAAATATAAACAATCAAAATCCGAACTGATAGTCTAAATAATTGCGAAATACATTCCCTTATAAAATTTTTGTGCACTGTATCTTTTTATTTTGTTCCACAAAAATTGCTATTTGTTATAAAAAAAATATTCGCACCTGTTGCTAGTCATTTTTATAAAAATGTCCTATCAAAATTATATTGAAGATTATCTTTAAAATAACGGTTATATTTCCACAAAAAAATAGTACTTAATGTAAATAAGCAATATGTACACCCAAAATTATGTTTAAAACATAAATGTTAAAAGAAACTTAAACATCGACTCGGATGATGTGATGTCATTTGTGGAGTAACAAGGGATTTGATATCTTATTCTCTCTATATATATTATATTCTAAGAATAGAAAAAAATAAAGTGAAAGATCCTAACAGTTTTGATCTTTATAAATGTAAAGTAGGGTTCATTTTCAAATATTCTTAGATGTACACAATCCCCACACGCTTTAAAGCATTATAAACATGTTTTAAAACCATTTTAAGATTAAAGCTTGTTACTTTGGTGTCAGAGTAAACATTTGAATTAATTTGTTATTGTAAATATTATATCTTTTAAAAAATAATAGACAATATCGTGTAAGAGGTTAGGTCTAATTAAATTAAATAGTATTTAAGGTTGACATATTATTTGTATAAATAGGAACCGAGTATGAAACAATTAATTTCTGTGTAATGGGATGGACTGATCGTTTTTATACAATATTAAATCTTGTTATGTACACAAGTGTTTTTGATTTTTCATCTCATGTTTGTCCGTGAGTCCAGCGTAAATTTCGTCAATTATTTTCTTTTAAAAATGCAAGATTATTTGACCCACGAAGAATAAAAATCATTAGAGTGAAGGCCGCTCTATATGTACAGTTTAATATCAGGGATGAACACTAATGGTTTTGGCGAAACTTTAGAATGCATCGTGTCGATGACAAAGAAATGCAAATAGGTTGTTTACTTTTAGAGTTAAGCTAGTTTAAAATGAAAACCGTGAATATATTTTTAGTTTTATTGTAAAGTTACAGTCTAAATTTACAAGTAGGGCTCGGGGAATTCGAAAGTGACTTCACGACCCGTCAACTTCTTGTATACAGACTGGAAGGTGTCCACCTGAAACAAACAATCACAATACATTAAATATAGTCGAAACGCAAACAAACAATAAAGAGGCCAAAAATTAAACAAATGGAGTCAGTCATTAACAGGGCTATTAATAAACAAGGTTTAGCGCCAGAGTAACAGAGTACGCTAAAATTGCAATTTCGGAATTAGTCCAAATCTATATTATACAGAGAATAAGCAAACCTACTACCTTCTAGGAGTAAATATCACTCCCGTAGAACCTCGTACAAGGATAACCTTTGCTAAGTCTCTGTTTAATAATATGAATTTTAACAAGCGCAGTCTCACAACAGTGAAAATTTACTCCAACGCTAAACCTTGTTTAATAATACGAGTGTTAGCGCGTTTGGTCTTTAATTTCAAACAGTGTTATTACAAAAAAAAAATAAACACGCGTTGAACGCGTTCTACTACAACTACACAATCGTATTTAAGCATTGGTTAAGACAAAACAACCCTTAAACATTGTTTAAAATTTTAACACATGTCAAGGGTTGTTTATCGAGTATCTAACCTTTCAAAATATTTCACTATAGTTTTACATGTTCTTATTTTGATAAGAATTATATCTTTGAATTTAAGTTAAAAATGATAATTTTAGATTAAATATTTTCATTTACAAAAATTATTAACTAGTGTGTTTATAAAGATATCTTTTTAGGTCTAAATTTATTATAAGTTTGTATACAGAGTGCATAGAATTGAGCGTGTATGAATGAATGAAAGCCAGTAGAACGAATGTTTCTTCGAAAGAACTAGTGTTACTTAGACAATGTTTAAAAATGAATTTCTAATAGGGAAAGTTAGACATCATTTTAAACAGGGTTTATATTCTTAAACACAGTTTAGATAAACACATGGTAAAACACTGTTTAACGTCTCTTTTGTAATAACACTGTATATGTTTGCAAAGGTGCGTCACCAACAATTTATTATTTTGAACTTTCAATGTTTCGGAAGGCACGTTAAGTCGTTGGTCCTGGTTGGTATAGTAACATTCACCAATCCTCACTGGAAGCGTGTGGTGGATCACGGCCTATTTTCCCTATTTGATTTACCCAAAGAGAAGGCCTATGCCCCAACAGTAGGGGGCATTAAAAGGCTGGCGGTTACATTTCAAAGATTAAAAGGTACAAATTCAAGCCATAACATATAAATGTTTGGGTGGATGCCTGAACATTGATGAGAATACGCTCTGTAGTAGCGAAAAGTAACAAGTGCTTGAAAGATTCGTCAGTCCTGTTAGGTCCTGGGTAGCTCAGCGGTTAGAGCAATCACCCGGATTATAAAAGGTTGTAGGTTCGAATCCCATATCAGGTTGCCAGGGACCAAGTGGTTTTTTTTAAGCATTTTGTATTAAAAATATATAGACTCGGGTCTACAAACAACATTTAAGACGTGATATTTTCAATTTCTCAAGCTGCAAAGGTTTTATTAATTTGTAATACTAGTATGTGTGTCTAATATTGATAAGGATAAATAAATGCATTCAATATAGCTCATTAGATATATGAGCATACTTCTATGTAGAGATTGGGACAATTTGAATCAGATTAATGATTTTGTAATCATGATTAATTTGCAAATAAATTGATAATTTCAGATGTTTCAGAAGTGAATTGTTAAAAAGATTTAAATCTATATACAAATTGGTAACTTCCACTCTAAACATCTGTTTTGTGCATTGACTTAAGGTTTTGTGTACATAACACAATGATGTCATAAAAATGAGGGACAGCATTTTCACAGGTATAAAGTTAAAATTAGTTTTAATCTTAAGACAATTAAACGTGTTTATATTTCCGAAATATTATGGCTTTTTAAAATTAAAGGAGAAGCTCCTTATTCACAGCTTCATTATTTGCAAGTGAAAAATTTGTAACCAAATTTCTGAACTCGCGGCTAAAATCTGCGTATTCGAGGATGCAATCGGTAACAAAGGAATTCAGCGTCGTTTATTGACGCATCGTCATGTTTTAAATACTTCGGGCATTCATTGGAACATTCATAAAATACTTTCATAAAACCTATTTTATAAATGCTACAGGAACTTATTAATCTAATTAAAGGTCTTTAAAAACTGGAAAAAAAGATAATTAATAAAAAAAATTTAAACGCTTATTTGAAGCTGACAATAAAGATTGATTATAATTGGTAGTTCTTTAATAATCTTACCTCAATTGTATTTATTTGACATACATATTAGGCTTTTATTTAGGAACTTTTGAACATACCCCCTATTCTATACAGAATGCCATCCCATATTCGCGACATATTTAAGGAATGTATCCTCTGCGAATAAGGAGCTTCTACTGTATAATAATCAGCTAAAAGTATTATATCAAACAGAGCAGAATACCCTATTGTCCAATATTTACTCCATATTCAATCAGACTATATTTTGTTTCTCTCTGTTCTCATGGGAGAATTTAAAAACACTATTATATATATATACCTTGTGTTCGATGGTGGTCTGTTGGTTCTTATCAAGGTGCACTTTAATAAGCTGTGAGCCGTCCAGCTTGATTCTGATACGCTTGCCAACAATCTCAGCAGGGAATACGAGATCCTCGAGGATAGCATCATACACGGATGTCAGTGTTCTGCAACAACAAAATAAATGATTTAGTGAACTTGGATTAGGATATTATTTTGATGTTATAAAATCAGAACATTCCATATTTGTGGGACAATTTTTGAAATTGTTGGTTTAGGTCTAATCTGGTATATAAAAGACTTTATTTGAACCTGATATATAGGTATATCTAAAAAAAAAATATTTAATAAATTGATGGGTTTTATTTAATTTCCTTCTTTTTTCCTTCATTTAACTTTTATTTTACAATTAATTTATTATTATTACTTAAGTTATATTTCACACTTGTTCTAATTACAAGACAAATACATACACACATGAACAAAGTCATTGATATAGGCTAAGCTAACATTGAATTAGGTACCCTAATTTGCAAAAACAAAATATTTATAATTTATCATGATAGGAATATTTACTTGATTAGAAAAAGACAGACATACACTGTGACTGGGAAACAAAAACATCTCCATTCTAATCCATTATTATTCATATTAAACAAACAAACCTATTTTTCGGTGCAGGAATGTGATATAATGTGATCGCTTAATTTACTAATGATTATTAATTAAAACAAAAAAGTTCTATCAGTCTGCTTGGTAATGACAATCCTTGCAATTGTTTCTCTATGTGACTCTTATTTAATAAAAATTTCATTAATTATAACTATAATTGTAGCTATTATCTCTTGATTGGAAAATAAGGGGCTCAAATTTTCAAAGTAGATAGGACTGTATGACATACCTGGATCGTGGCCTTTTCTGTTTGTTAGCAACGCGCGTCTTGTGGCTAGGTTTAGGTAGGATCTTACGGTCTCCGATAAATACTACATGTTTGCCACTGAATTTCTTCTCCAGCTCACGGACCAGCCTGATCTGGATCTTCTGGAACGCCTTCAATTTGGGCATCGGCACATAGATTATGATAGACTGAAATTAAAAAGAAAATACTGTGTAAAAATATATCAGCTTGTAGTGTAAGCACAAAGAAATTAATATAAGTAGCAGGTTCAGAGCATACCACTAGTTTTATTTGAAACTGTCTCAAGTATTGAAACCTAATAATAAGTGAACTAATTAAAATATTTACAGTTCATATGTAATTAAGATAGTGATTAGTTTTAAGTTGCTGAAAATCTTAGCTACTTTTTAGGTCAGTGCCTTAACAATAGGTTATAAAATACCACAGGCTTCCAGTAGCAAGCGTCAGCGCCCAAGTCAGAAGGGTTTTTGATATGAGTATCACGGCATTTATCACTGTATCAGGTTGTTTATTATTAAGATTTCAATGTATAAACACAGGATTACCTTTTTGTTATGTAGTTCAATTTCTTTAGCCTTGGTAATGTACAACTCCCTAAGCTGTGCCTTCAAATCGGAGTTAGTCTCCAATTCGACCAGAGCCTGCGAGATCGAGGTCTCGAAGGGGTCTGCCTCCACAGCGCCAGCTTTGATAATCTTCGTACTCATCTGGAAAATTTAACCACCGAATTTTACTATCACACTTCACCGTATAGGTTAGAATTCCGTGTACATTTCTTCGACTGTAACCCGAAAACTTTACACTTTGTGGAACACGATTAGTAACACAATGACTTTAATTGCTCATACTTTTGATAGTAATACGTGTTTTTATTACACTATTCACTTTCAGCAGTCAAAACAACGTTGGGTGAGATAGGACGGCGATTGTCATCAGAGAAAATCACAAAAATCGTTACCGTGAATAAAAAACTAAAGCCGGAAATATAATGCGATACGCTTGAGTTTAAAAAAATACTCAATATTTATGTTAAAGCTAGAATTTTTCAAATAAAATTTGTAAAATACAACATCGACAACTACCTTGAAAACCCTATCGGGAGCGAAAGAGACAGAAAGCTGGTGTTGCCAGTTAGTATACAGAATAGTTTCCACAATTTCTTACACTAATAAATAACTATGAATAAATTGTCCTGTAGAATCTCAATAACTCTAGATTTTTATACTTTGTATAATATGAAATAGTGGTAAACAAAATAAAATCATATTTTCTCTAAAAATGGAGGATATCTTTTCCATTATAAGATTCTCCTAAAATACTTTGGTGTTTATTATTAATGGCAATTCACTATCTTAGTTTAGGAATATTTGTTCTACCGTATCAAATAACAATATAAAAACGTAGGCAAAAGAATATATTTATCGATTTTTCTATTTTTCATGATAGTTGTCTTTGTAATAAAAATAGTTTCTAGTTTGGTGAAATTGCAGCAGTGCCATTTAAAAATTACATTACAGATAAAACGCTTTTAAATTATTAAACGAATATTGATCATATGTTTTTCATTGACAGTGTCATTATGTCAGTAAGTAATCAGTATCAAACTTAGGTGTCAAAAAATGGAAATGTATTCTTCTTGTAAACATAAATAATAAAATAATAATAAGAAGAAAACCTAAATAAACTAACTCTTTGTTGTAAATTAAATAAACTGCGTTTGTAAACTTTTTCATAGCTACCTTTTTTATAGCGAGAGATTGCTTGATTTTTCAGTTAATTACAGGTTCCATATTTTTCTAATAACGTTGAGCTTGCCTCACTAGCAGCTTTACAATGTTATAAAGTTAAAGCTTAACTTGTCTTTGGCACTCAAAACAGATCTATAAATATTTGCATACGTTTATATATATTTATTAGTAGGTATACAAACATAACTTTTTACATAGTCAATAAAAAGTATTGTAATAACTAATTCGATTATTCTTAGAATGATCGAGTAGTATATATATTTTAATAATTTAAATTGAATATTACTGTTATTATCAATGATTTTAATAGGTGTATTGGTAAATACGTGACTCATTTGTTTATATCCGATATTTTATATTTTAACTAGAGACATGCCAAGAAAACTTCTTTTTGGGTTTTTGAAAGTTTTCAATAAAATTGATTTTGTGATTTAGACATACAGGATGGTAACACATATGCACTGGTAAGTTGGTAATCATCAGTTTTATTTTTTATTGCTTCTGTGTTATATTAATTTGAAATTGACTTATAGTGGATGATTATTGAGATACTGATGTAAAAAGTGGCATCCACACTGCAGCAAATTATTCCTTTTTTTATTAAGCAACTTACTACTCTAATAATAAATTATTCAATTGTATGTAAACTCATTCTAATTATATGATATAAATATATTTGAAAATTTATATGATGATGCTGCATTATATTTTTTTATTTGTAAACCAGCCAGCCATGAGTGAATGTTTATAACTAATTACTATTTCATAAGGGCAGCACACAAATTATAATGTTTTCTTTTTGTTAAAGCAAATGAAATGAAATGAAAATATCTTTATTCAAGTAGGCTATTACAAGCACTTTTGAATTGTCCAAAAAAATTTTTTTTTCCCTACCACTTGTTCAGGACGTCTTTTAGCTGACAAGAAGAACAAGCGAAAGAAACTTACCAGCTTTTTATCATAAGTAATGACATTTACATAAATCATGTCATTACCAAAATAATATGTATTATCACAATAATAAATACAACTTTCAAAGTCTGTAGGACATAGGTTGAACATATAATTAGTCTTTATAGAACAAAGCGAAGGCTATCAATTCCATGCATGGCGAACCTTAAAATAATCATCAACTTTAAAATAGCCTTTACTCATAAGTATATTCTTTACATGAATTTGAAATTTATTTATGGGTAGGTCAATTACATTTTGTGGAACTTTATTGAACATAGCAATACATTTACCCAGAAATGATCCTCTGGTTTTTTGAAGCCTGAAGCTTGGAACGGCAAGTTTATTTTCATTTCTTGTGTTAAGATTATGAACACTACTTTTTTTGTGAAGGAATCGTAATGTTTTCTTGTGTACATAACATTCTCAGTGTTCCCTGAGGTACTTTATTTGGTCCCTTAGTGTTCTTATCATTGTCTTCTTCAGTATTGTTAGTTTATTCATGTATCCACTTCTGGGGCACAGATCTGAGCTATCTACACAGTCACACATATGGGTGCTAAATTAAATTAATGCAAGATTTTATTAAAAAAAAATTTAATGTTACATACCTATAATCCTACATACATAGTAAACAATATTTTTATTTGGATTAGAACTCCTCATTATTCTTATAGTGAGGAGTTCTAATAGAATTTTATTATATGTATATTTTTTGATCACTTTTATTTGTTTTAGGTATTTTAAGTTTAAACATGCAAAAATGTTCTAGTATTTATATCCTTAAGACAGTTTTAATTTTGGAAGTCTAATGTAAATTAAATCTGAAAATTAGCTTCATATTAAATATTTTCTTATGAATATTATATTTTATCAATTTTTATTTTTAATACCGGAAAATATTCTTAATGAAAAATTCTTAAAAAATCCTGCAGCCCCAGCTGCTTTGAGATGGTATATATATAAATACTTAAAAATCTCATCATAAAGACAATCTAGTGTTAATATTATACATATCCTATTATTATTCTAACATTTGTCAGTCAGTGCCCATTATTCATAATATAATATGTATGTTATATGATGTTATCGCGAATTACACAACTACTAACAACACTCAACAACTTTGATACAACAGCTGATAAGGTAATCTGACTGTAATAGGAGTCAAGTGAACGATACGCGGCGGTCTCCGCAGTGACCTAGCTGACGTTGCCGGCGGACGACGCTAAACTCCTTTGCCGTCAAAAAATAAAAAGTTAGTATATATTTTTTAATTTAATACAATATAGTACGAAAATTTCTTTACCTTTTTTTTATATTAAGTTAAATGTGCATCTACAAGCGTATATACTGGGTCTGGAAATAGTATAAATTTTAGACTATCGATCATGTGAAATTATTCGGATATAAACTAGGATTAGAAACGGTTATATCACGATTTAATTGTAGGAAATATAACTTTATTTTAAAGTGGCATTGATACGATTCTTTAAGTCTGGTCTTATGTAGATTAAAAGTATTAAAATGTGGAATTAAAAACTCGATGAAACGCTTATTTAAATATAATATCTAACCACTGAGTTACCCAGGACCTGACAGGACATTGTACATTAAGAATGCAAAATTGATGAAATATAATAATATGACAAAACTGTTAGAAATATGACATAGTTTTCTAGTTTTTAATTAAAGCTTATTTGGGCGTTATTTATTGGTACAAAACTTATTGAAAGTTAGTATTTTTTTGCGCTCGGTTTACACGCCCTTTTAAAGTCGCCCTCTTTATAATCTTGTCATTCCCTGTGTCTGTTTATTGTTGAACACCTTTGAATGTATTTTCGTACGGCTTTCATTTTATGATAGGAAATTCTAAAAGGAAAATTTATCTCTCTTGCAAACACACTAGCTACGGTCACGTATCTTATTTAATGCCGTCTGCATTTCCCTTTTCTGTAATAATTTTACTTCTATCCTTTTCTTCCTCGACTTCCTCTTCTTCTTTGCATTCCCTTGGTTTCAATCAGAAGATACGAAGGGCCTGCCATATTGGAGGCTACTCATCAGATCGCGACGCGAGCTTTTGATGGAGGGGTTTTGTTCGTCCAATTTAGAAACTTATTAAGTGCACACGCACATTATCTAACCACAAAACATAAGTATTACAAACAGAACTAACTTTAAATACAAACACAACTTGTGTACTATGAACAGACATTGCTAATTTTGTGAGTAATATCCGCATTAATTTCCTATAAATAATACTTATTTAGCTAATTTAAAAAACTCCAAATATAGCATATAACAAAATTTGAAGTTTGGTTTTCAATACCTATCTAATAGAGTCGAAATTAGCGTAAGATTATTTTTTACAATAGTAACAATTATAATCATATTTCATATGACGCAATCATCCACTAACATAAATAATGTACCCAACTAAGTAAGCAGTTCATTCATTTAAAATTATTGAATTGTATTTACAGTAACTTTTATAATTATATTGGGAAGACGTTCATTTGTTTTAAAATGCGTAAAGCGACACTGTCCCTGTCTATCCCATTGTACCCACAATGAGAGAGAAGATACTGAGTATACTGACAGACGATGTAATAACAGTTTTGGATTGATTATTCGTAACCTATTATGGATATTGTATATGTGCCTACCGCATAAAGATATCGAGCTAAGTGTATGCAAGACACTTTATAACTTTATATTTAATTTTTAAGAAATAATATATGTATTTTACATTTCTTATTTTTAGGGTTAACTTTATGATTTCTTTAATGAGATTCATTTATAACGTTAATTCTCACAAATACATATTAGTTTTCTTGTTTTTAATAGCAAGTGTGTACGCTCACTCTTAGGCGGCCGAAGCCCCCAACTATTATTCTAATTCAATAATAATAAATATACAAGCAAAAATACATATTTGACGTAAAGCTAGGAATATATGCAAAACTTGCGTTGTTGAAATCGACATTTTTTATTGTAAAGGAAGCTATCTGTAAATTTCCCAATAACATTTATCTTTATTGCCTAGTCTTATTATCGTTAAAGTATTCACCTACTTACTTACTAAAGCAACACCATGCGCATTATTAGTGACAACTTAGTGTAATAAGTTTTCAAGCTACCCTTCGCAAAAAGGCTTCATCAGAGCATTTTCGATAATCAATAATATCAGATTGCTTGGCATTTCTAGCAGCATAGAGCAGATGGCACTTTGAGAGTTACGAAGAAGAGAACTTTGATTTATCATAGCTGTTAACGCAATTAGTTTTGCCATAATGTAACATTTTGAAAACCCGGTTACGGTAAATTAATATATTTGTCTATGCATTAATTAGAACGCTTTGAAGTTCTAAATGGCTAATAGTGTCCGAAACCGGGTCTTCTGGCTGGAGATAAAATTAAAATAAAGTTATGGGTCAATTTAAAACATTATTGCTGGTTATATGTTGCCGTATAAAAAATCCGACAGTCCGTTTATTGTTTATATAGTCTAGTTCAGCGGCTCTATTGCGTTACTGAAGTCCTGATTGGGATAACATAAAAATGATAAGTTTGATTTTAAAATATGTTTTGGCAATCTAATTAATGTTTTCATCAAAACCTTTAAAAAATCTATAAGTTAATGCCGTGTCTATCTCACGCTATAAACACGATGCCAAAATTTTAGAAAGCATTCAAAGCATTGGCTTTTATACATTGGTATGTTAACATCTTTTATTCCACAACTATAGGTACTCTTGATTCACTGAATTATTATATAATTCATGTTGAAATATGTATTGTGCTAAGCTAAATCTATCTATTGAGATATCTTAGCCCCCGTAGTTGAGTGATTCGCATGCCGCCGGTTTCAATGTGTCGCAAAATCTTAAAGGATCAATGAAAAAAATGTCTTCTCCTATATGAAGTCTGAGTGTTATGGTATTTTTACTGCTTCATCGAATCTGAGCAATATACGTGATGTTATCTAACTTATATTGTTGTCTAACGCATAAAAATCTTAGTCATTTGGAATAAACATTTACAATAAATTTTTGAGAAAAATTTATAAAATTTTTCAATCACAACTTTTTTAATCTCAAAATGTTGCCGACCCCTGGTCTAGTATAATGTTTATAAACACAATAAACAATGTCTGATGTTTAGTAGAACCGTGGGTACGAAGACAGACGTTGGAGTAATGGGAGCCATTTGTAAATAAACCTTGGTAGAATTAGCCGTAGAACAAATTTAGTTTAACAAGAAAATCGTTCAGTATCACATATTTTATTTTACTTTTTATTCTTATTTTATAAATTTAATGAGACCTTTGAGTATTGTATAAGCAGAATTTTAGTAATGTTTACACTCTTGTCATATATTCTGGTAATGTGGATGTATATTTATTCATAAGATGAATTTGACGAACAAACAAACATAAAAACAGGATCAAAAATATCAATGAAAACACAATACAGTCAATGATACAATAGGGATGATGACTGGGTTAAAAAAAAGCAATTCTATTTAGTCCGTCAGTCAGATAATAGAAAAATATTAGATACGTATTTTTTTTACTTCAATTTCACAAGAAATAGCTTAGATAACGGGCATTAAAGATGCGGAGTGGGGGCTCGCTACGTCACAGTTGAGTAGAAAACGTTCCATAACGTGACGTCATGCGAAATTTCAACTCCATGTAACGCCGTAATTTTATGAATACGAAAAAAAAAACAAAAATACGTGTTTAATATTTTTTAACACTCTACCTGACGGACAAACAAACAAAAAATAGTCATCATCCCTATTAATATATGATAATCATCTGTAATCATCCCAATGTAGTTACATATTATTGAGCAAATAAAATACTTTGACTTTTGACTTGGACAAATACATAAATTTCATAGATGTGATCTTTTGTCATTAATGTCAACCTTTTTTATTGAGAAATCTTAAGTATATAGGTAGTACTTATATATAGATCACTGTTACCATCCTGTACCATAGCCATTAGTTTTCTTTTCAGCAGCGCGATGACGCGGGGTATCCTAATCACTGGCGGGGCGGGTTACGTCGGCTCTCACACGGTAGCCGCCCTCATAGAGTGGCGAGCCGAGCAAGATTACGAGATAGTGGTCGTAGACAATCTATCTAACGCCCATAGAGAGAATGGCCAAAAGAAACCTGAACCCCTTAGGATTATAGAGGAGATGACAGACAAGACAATACAGTTTTATGACGTAGACATAGGAGACAGAGATGGACTGAGCAAAATATTCGAGAAGGTAATATTTTTCTTTTTGTTTATGTTTTATTTATTTATAATAATTGTATATAAAATCTTCTTTTTCTTGTATCAAGAAGAAGTAATAAAGTTTTTTCTAAACAAAAAATATATAAATTTAAAATCGAATAGATTAAGTGGCCTATAACTCATGGTCGGTCGGTCTTAAAAACTGCAGATGATGCTTTCATAAAAGGGCTTAAAGTGCCTTCCGAAGCTCGAAATATTTTTTTGTCTTAAGTACTAGAAGAGGCCCTTTCGAAAGGTGCTTAACAGCGGTAACGCAGACTGAACGCACTAACCACTGCGCCGAGTTCTTTAATACTAAAATATATGGTTCTTCGATCCGGATTATTGATTCCCATATACAGGATATCGCTGCTTTGAAAGAACACTGTCGTTACTCAAATTGAGTCAATTTTTCAGTAGAGCACTTTAAAGTTTTTACAAAATCTTCAAATGCTGTATTTTTTTATTTACTGCGCAAATGTTTATGAAATTTTAATAAAACACGAAAAATATATTGCAGTTTATGTTTATTAAATGTTTTTAATAAAATAATTCTTAATTAGTACTAAATATTGAAAATGACCACTAGGTCTCAGACTTATAACAAAATAACACAGACAAACTTACGAAGATTACTGGCTCATTGCAAAAAAAAAATAGAAAAATGAAGGATATTTTTTTATAACAGTGGTGTTTTTAGAAATAATTCAAAATATTCATTATGTTTTTCTCAGTGATACTGATACATTTTGAGTTGTGACATCTTAGTATTATTTATTTTAAATCAACAGTGTTACAGTACCAATTCGGTCTTTCTTTTACAAAAATGCTTACTGTGTGATATAACATGCTTTATGAAAAATAAAGTAATAATTGGATTTACGACAAATGATAAGCATACTAAACTTAGGAAAATAACAGAAAAATGAGAATGTTTAATATATTTAAAAATAGCTAACGCTTATTAAGAAGCATTGAATCTTATAAATTCTGGAAACAAAACATAAAAATTCAAAAAAGCTCAAAATTAAACAATGTAATTTTTATCAACTTCAAAATTAGAAGAATTTTATAAATTCAAAGCACAATACAGAGTTTTATATCAGTCTCTATTTTGAACGTTTTTTAAGAAAGCTATCTCAATATCTAAGTATAATACTTTGAGATCATAATAATCAGTACGCAAGTTTTACATTACTAATATGACAAAAAAAAAATCTTTCAACATGTCATATTATTAATATCGTGTGAGTAGGTATATATTAAATAAAGAGTAAGATTTTGGAATTGTATTATTTTGTAGTAAACTTAATAATCCTCGTTTCTTCTTTTCACGCACTTTCAACTTATTTTTGTATGCTTGTGTCAAAACTATATTATTTTGTGTTTCTTGTTCTTCCTATCTTATATTAAAATGTTCCTCTTCGTATGATGTTTTGTAGAAGAAGGCATAATTTTCAGTGTTGACTGGATCAACATTCAAATTTTTTATATCAGTACGATTTACTGATTGCTTGTTTGCATTTTTAGAAAAATTCTTACATATAGCAGTTGCTAAACTTTTGACTTCATAAAAATCGGCTTAGGTCAGTTCATATACTATAAAGGGTATACCAATCTTCTTCGCACTTCAAATTATCTGTGTGTATTGTGCAGGTGTATAGATCGCACCAGATTTGAGGCTTTTTTGGATTTGACGCTCTATAACAGCGTGAATACTGTCACCCTCATTTTGCGTAAGACCCTTTATGAGGAATTTATAACAAATTGAATAAATAAATCATGCTTCGGCATGAATGGGCCGGCTCGACCGGAGTGATACCACGGCCTCACAGAAAACCGACGTGAAGCAACGCTTGCGTTGTGTTTCATCGTGTGAGTGAGGGTACCGGAGGCCTCAACCCTTCCCTCCCTATGATAATATTCGTCCCTCAAAGGCCGGCAGCGCGCTTGTAGCCCCTCGGGTGTTGCAGGTGTCCATGGGCGACGGCCATCACTTACCATCAGGTGATCCATCTGCTCGTCTGCCCCCTATCCCATAAAAAAAATAATGATGATGTTTCTGCTGCCTGCAGCAATTATCTGAGTGAAATATCAAGTCCAATTTTAAATCAAGTTTTTTGGCGGTTTCTTCCAAGCTTTCAATGAATTTTAGTACACAGTTACCAATTTCATTAGCTCCACGTTTAGTTTTGCCTTCGTGCTATACCTAGCAGTTAACATCTTTGGTTTTAATATCATAAATAGTAATATTATAGCAGTTCAACTTGGATAGGTAATAAAATGTCGACGTATCACCTTTAGGACAAAGCACTGCAGCTTGTAGATCATAAACGAATACTATACAATTGTCCGGAGTATATGTTTTTGTCCCCATCTTTTTTATCCCTTGCTAGTTGTTTTTCTTTTAGGTGAAGTTCATAATCATGTTTCATTTTTTTTTGTCTTCTTCAGTCGCATTCGCATAATTTGTACAGTTCTCGCATTCTTTTTTAGGTTTGAAGAATGCCATATTGTATTCGGAACAAAATATATTGTAACATGCTAGATAATTACCAAAAGGTAAACCTTTACTTTTACATTCAGCAACATAGTCTCGATGTAAATCAGCTACAGTCTTGCCGCCTTCAATGTATGTTCGCTTGGTGTCTGCTTTGCAGTAATGACTATCAACATTCGGGAGAATTGCTAGACGATGATGAACTATCAGAAGAGTCCGGGGAATAGCTTGAACTAGATGAACTACTCGGTGGTATTTACGATATTTTTGAAGGGCCTGGTTTGGGCTTGTTTAAATAATCAATTTTTTTGGTGAGAATTAGGCGTACTAATTTGACTCGAACTTGACTTTCTAGTCGCAACTGAAATCATGGGATCGATGTTTTCAGCAAACTCATTTCTTTTAAATCGCTTTGCGCGTTTCCTACTATTTAAGTTACTATAATTAGAATCGGAATAATAGTCAGCAGTATTTACGTAATCTGAGTCCTTAACGCTGTCATCCGAACAATAGTCTTGAACTTGCTGGTTTAGCGGATCTTCTGCATCTAGAAGTTTGTTGTTTTCAGTCGGTAAAGGAGATAGTATCATGTGTTCCGTTTGACCCATTCTGTTATCTGCTTGATTTTCCTGTAACATAAACAAAACTTGAAAAAATATCCAACGAAAGATGAATCAAAAAAGTTTAAAATGGTATTCTTCTCGATAGTAATTGATAATATTATTATTATAGACTTTAAAAAAAGAAGTAAAAGTTAGAAAAAGCAGGTTATACCCGCACTTTCAGACAATTATTCGATTCTGATTCCTATCGTAGATAATATCGGACCTAGATTTTAGGAAAATACCTAAATCTACGTACCTTCCTAGCATCTAGCTACCTAGAATACCTTCTCTTTATAAGGACCATAGTAGTAGAATCTATATACCTAGAATGTAGCTAACTAGTAATTAGCTAGCTAAATTACTTACTTATAAAGAGCCGATAGGTAAAAAGAATACTACCTATACCTACTAAAATATTAGATTCTGTAAGCTCATTACGATTAGTTAGTTAGGTATCTGACAAAAAAAAAATGCGTATTCGAGTTGCTTTTTATCTGAAATACTGTGTCAAGTACAATAATACGACAAATTGTTTAACAGATAAAGTCTTATTACGAAAAATCGTATTACAATCACCAAATAATTTATCTAGAAAAACGTTTTAATTTTAAATGTACAAATACTATCGACCGTATTTTTTATTATATACAGTAATATCTAATTTTAATACATTTGAGTTCTACTTACCTTTTGAAGAACAACGTAGTAATCCTAAATGACACTTTTTTTATGAGAGGTGTTTAAAAATTCTTGCAGATTCTTTTAAACAATTGTGTCATATCTCGAAATAAAACAGTGTTCTAGATAAATGCGCACTAAAAATCTGTATCATTGTATAATATGATTATATTCCAGAAAACAAACCGAGTGTTCACTTTTAAAGGCAAGTTGCAACTGGCAATACAACGTTATCTTTGAAAAATGGCGCCCAAAATTGGCCAATAGGATACAGTCTTTCGGTAGCGCCACGCCGTAAAATATTGTTATAGAAAAACGACCTTTACTGAGTATACAAAACAGATCATTTTACGTTGAATGGTGTTGAAAACTCAATTTTGTAGTATTTGGTAATAATACGCTATTGTTCCAAAGCAGCGATATATTCTTTACCCATAAATAACTATTCCATCCCTCATAAATATAATGTTTACCGGAATTGTTGTTTTTTAGCACAGCATTGATTGTGTAATCCACTTTGCGGCGTTGAAAGCAGTCGGGGAGTCAGTGCAGAAGCCCCTCGAGTACTATCAAGTGAACATTACTGGGACTTGTACTTTGTTTGAGGTATTTGAAATATTTTTTATTACATTATCGGTCGGTTGCACAAACGTCCATTAAGGTTAAATGACGCCTTTAAGCTCTAATGAATGTCAAATTTGTATGGGTAATGTCGCTTTAAAAAAATAAAATAAAAAAAACAAAATTATTTATTCAGTCTAGGCTGTTACAAGCACTTGTGAAAGTCGAGAGCTACGCCATCGGTTCGTAAATCTACGGCGGGAGACCTTAAAATAATGAACATTTTAATGGATGTTTGTGCAACTGACTGTTAGTTTTCGTTTATTGTTTTTGTTTCACCAAAATTGATATATAATATTTAATTTGTTCACTTTTTATATCTACTCTTAGGATTTTCATGTCCAAGACATCTTTTGGCTGACAAAAAGAACGAGCGAAAACTTGCCAGAACTTTATCAGAAGTAAAGACATTTACATCAATCATGTCATTACCAAAATAATTTGTAGGAATAATAAAATAAATTAATCAATGCCTGTTGGATATACCATATACATATACATATAAAATTAGTCAGTGTATAATAAAAAAAGCTATTAATTCCATGCATATCGACTCATTCTATCGATAACACAATAGACATCCCTAGGTAAATTGAACATCGGCTACGTCGTTTTAGGTGATGCGTAAGTACGGGGTGTACAAGCTAGTGTATAGTTCGTCGTGTACCGTGTACGGGGAGCCCGAGCGGCTGCCCATAGACGAGGGGCACCCCACCGGCCGCGGCCTCACCAGCCCCTACGGCAGGTCCAAGTACTTCTGCGAGGAGATCATGAAGGACTTGTGCACCAGCGATCAGGTATTCTCACTAATGCTTGCGCTTAGCCAAATAAAACTGTACCCTTCAAATTTAAACTATCCCAAATGTTATACTGCTCTGTCTGGGTAAATTTCGTAAAAAGGACTAAAAAATTTTTATTGTCAAAAAAAAAATCGATATTGTCGCTCCACCCCAAACTGGGATACAGTATATTTATATGGACTGAAAAATAAGACATATATTTCATTTAAAAGTTCTCTATTTGCAAGACACATTTGAGCTTATTGAAAATGTACATAATTTTTCTAATTCAGGAAGAATTCCAGAAGAAATCCTAATTACTTCAAAATGTTGTTATTTCATCCATGAAAGATTCTGGTCTACTATGACTCCTAGGAACCTAGTTGAACTCACCTTTTCAATATAGTAGTATAGTTAGTAATATACTATGTATATAAAACATATAATTTGTTCATTTACCTATAATAAAAACTGTGTTGGGCCTAGGTAACTGCCCTGTGGGACACCGTAGTCAATGCTGATCAGTTCACTAGTATATTTCCGAACTTGATCTGGTGTTTCCTACCCTGTATGTTATTTGCCATAAGTGCATCTATATTGACCTAGCCTGTGTATAACAGTAGGGACAGAAACCTTGTCAGAAGATTTTTTAAGGTCTAAAAATACTGTGAGACATTTTTTACCGTTATCTACATGTTTAACTAGAGAGAGACGAGGGATATTATATATATGAGTATAATACGCGAAGAAACTAATTTTCAAGGTTTCGCTCTCTGTCTCAGAGATCCCGGGTTCGATTCCCGGTCGGGTCAATATAGAAACTTTTCTATATTATTTCAGGTCTATGATTTTGACCTTTGTCTTTTAAAATTTCCTTAACACAATTGCTTTCTACATTGTTCAGTGTAGTGATGTTGTCTAAAATTTATTGATTTATAATGATTTGTTTCTTATATGTGTGTGATTTATTTTGTCAATAGAAATGGATGATAGTATCATTGAGGTATTTCAACCCAGTGGGCGCCCACAGCAGCGGGAGGATCGGTGAAGATCCAGCCGGCACACCGAACAATCTCATGCCGTACATATCACAGGTAATATATTATAACCGTCTTCTCTTAGAATCTCACTCTCATAATCTAATAATATATAAGACTTTCTGTCTTAATCGCTGACTGAATGAATCAGAGACAAAGCACTGTCTAAACTGCCGGGGTTAAAGCTTTTAAAGAAGGGTAGGTACATTTGCTTAAGTACCATCTATTTTAAAACAAAATAGGGGGAAAAAATATTATTTTTGAACTTTTAGCTATTAAAATTGGTTATTAAGTACACAGTTTATAACAAAAATTCTATTATCAAAACATAGTTTTTGGTTAAGAAATGCAAGAATGCAAGTTACATACATCTTCTTTAGTCTTTTATCATATTAAAATCTAACAAAAATCGGTTTGGTGTACTAAAAATATAACATAAACTGGTTCAGGTGGCGGTGGGGCGCCTGGACGAGTTGCTAGTGTTTGGCGACGACTACCCCACCGCGGACGGCACGGGCGTGCGCGACTACGTACACGTCGCCGATCTGGCGCAGGGGCACTTGCACGCCGTCCGACTGCTGGCCGACCCGACGTACAAAGGGTTCCAAGCTATCAATCTTGGCAAGTACTTTTGAACATTTTACAAATGTGACTATACTACTCGAACCAACTTAAAATTATTCGCTGCCGCATGTAGACTGCCGAAAGCATTTAACGCTATTAGTAAAGGGTTGGATATCTTCAAAGATAGTCTGGCCAGTTTTAAGAAAGCAGCTTTACTGTTGCTGAAACCTTGATTGATTGATGCAAGTTGTGGGATATTTTTATTTTCTTTTTCTTTTTTTGTACTGTAATTTGTTGTTATGTTGAACTATAATTTATTTAGATTTTATTTAGTATAAGTATCAAGTGCTGCTTTCCAGTGCATGTTGTGACACCTTAGAATGTTGTGCATTTAGTTATGTTATAGCGATTATATTCTAATAATTCATTTAATGTAACAACTATTGGATGTCCTAATAAATAAATAAAATAAAATAAAAAATAAAATATACGATCATACGTCGTATTCTGTTCTTCAAACGTTTAATCAATCAATCAGGATTGCTCTGTTTCCTCTGGTCCAAACTTAGACAAATAGGGATGATGACTAATTTTTGTTTGTCAGGTAGAGTGTTAAAAAATATTAAACACGTATTTTTTTATTTTTTTCGTAATCATAAAATTACGGCGTTACATTGAGTTGAAATTTCGCATGACGTCACGTTAGAGTACGTTTTCTACTCAACTGTGCCGTAGCGAGCCCCCACTCCTCAACTTTAATGCCTGTTACCTACACTATTTCTTGTTAAATTGAAGTAAAAAATAATACGTATCTAATATTTTTCTATTATCTAACTGACGGACTAAATAGAATTACATTTTTTTTTCCCAGTTATCATCCCTATTGTCACACGCATGAAATCCGGAACTCGATGTTCGTGTAATTGTATTGTCTGTTTTGGGAAAAGGCTTTTTAAAACTTTCATATTATCATATTTAACCACCATCAGACTTATTTAGGAAAGTAATCTATACTTAGTATAAAAGAAAAGTCGCTTCCCGCTGTCTGTATGCTGAGCTATTTTATCCTATTAATATTATAAAGGCGAAAGTTTGTAAGTATGGATGTATGGATGTTTGTTACTCTTTCACGAAAAAACTACTGGACGGATTTCGATAAAACTTTACAGCAATATAGGTTATACATCAGAATAACACATAGGGTACTTTTTACTGGGAAAACTTCTCACTCCCACGGGATACCGACTTCCACGCGGACGAAGTCGCGGGCGTCCACTAGTCCTGCATAAAGGATTTTAATTAATATACAGGTGATTCAAGAGGAGGGTTATATGCATAATACAGGTCAAGTCGCTGGCAGAAAGCTAGTAATAATAAAGGAAAAGCATTTTTATTAATTAATTAAAATTGTCCTGTGAAAACAATCAGCCTCATGATATTTGGAAACGTAACGTCACATTTCAATAAACATGAGAACTGATTGCGCTCCTTATAAAGATACTGACGTTTAGTTTATTAAAAAGTGACGTCACACGTTGCTCCGTCATGGCCGTTCTCATTTCGGTTCTTGTAATCGACACATTATAAATCTATTACTACTTAAATAGTTATTGTTTATATATAAGTTACCATTTCTAAAATATTTCATAATGTATTGTTAAATTTAAACTGTCCTGCAGCCAATTCTTCTTAAGGTGCTCCTTCACATGGAGTCTTTAACGTAACATTTTAGATACGATTTTAGTGGGACAAAATGTCGCACTACATAATGCATAACATGTAATCTACGTGAGGTTGCATTTTACGTGTCCCATTTGTCACATAACACATCTACATTGCATTAATGATTTCTTACATTTCAGGTACAGGTACTGGTTATTCAGTATTACAGATGATATCGGCATTCGAAGCAGCGAGCGGTCGAAAAATACCATACAGAATTGTCGGTAGACGTGCAGGTGACATAGCTGCGAATTATGCGGACGTCTCTCTTGCACAAAAGCTTTTAGGCTGGCGTGCGACAAGGACACTCGATGATATGTGCAGAGACACGTGGCGATGGCAAAGCATCAACCCTAACGGTTTTAAAAAGAGTTAGGTATTGCCAGAGGTACTGATAGAATTCTACCAAATCGTAGTGTTGCTATTGTAAAATACTTCTATTCCCATTGAGTTTCCGTTTAAATGTAATGGATATTTTAAAATATCATTTGATAAATAGTGTAATAAGTACAATCGCTAGAAGCAAACCAAATTACCCAGTATTGTAATGAATGATTTCAGAAACGTATACTTATATAGTAATAGATAATAATATATTTATTAGGTTTTTATTTCATCGTAATCAGTGCCATTGAAGTACTGTGAAGTTTATATTTACCAAAGTTACAAAGTTATAATATTCCTAATTGTGTTGCCATATGTTTTTACTTATATATTTATTTTTTATTAATGAAAACTAAGTTTAGACCAGTGAGCGAAACGAATTTATTTAAAATTAATACTTGACATATTTTATTTATTAAAAAAATTGGAGTAGGTAAAGGACAGTCTGTGTACTAATTTATTATTATATTTAGTCTCACAATTTTCATACAGAGCCACGGGGACAGAAGATTCAGGAATTATAATTTTAATATTGTGTTTTTCTCTCTGATATAAAGAAAAATATATCTATAATTATTATTTTATTATGAAACTAGAAAAGCCTTTCTTGGTAATAATGTTCTATTAATGATACTAAACCATAAGAAACACATTGTACACCATTACAGCCGATTGGTCCTGTATGTTAATCTTTCTACTTTTACACTGATAAACTGGCTGTATAGACAAAGACACCTTTGCCTTCTCAATGACTATATTATAATGTAATTCCATTTGTCTTACTATTTTTTACAAAGATTCGATTTATGTACGTACACAGGTCGGCACATCAGGATATTATAAAAAAAATCCGTAATCAAATTTGAACCTAGGACCCTGTCCAGAATTAAGCGCGTATAAGATGCATTTCGTAATGCATTGGTCGTTGGTAAACAATAGTGTTACCAATAAATAAAACGTTTGCAGCATTGAATCTGAAATCGCGCCTGCATTTGCAGCGGTTTAGTCCCTCCACATGGTTTAACTAGCAACAGATGTTCCCATTTGTAGTAACTTGACGTGTTGTCGTCTGTACAATCAATAGCATCTCATTTATAAACATTATACGAAACTATCAAATTTCGCCACTCGATTTTAAACGTTAAATCTTTGAGGGTAGTTTAAAATCAACTGGAAAAATTTGATATGTGTGTGACCTGACGTGCCGTGTGTACGTTTTTTGTTTGTAAGTGCATAAGGCGTGTTTTCCAAAGATATATTTCGTTGTATTTTGTTATAAGTTATATTATTTACATATTGACTTGAACAGTGTTTTTCAACCTGTGGGTCGCGACCCCCCTGGGGGTCGCGGAGCTTCTGTAGGGGGGTCGCCAAAGGTCGAGGGAACTTCAGTAAAAACAATAAAGATTAAAAATATTGATCAATTAAGTAGGAGAATTTTAACAAAGTAGAATTGTAGACGCATAAAAACTTCGCGACATATTTTTCATACCTGGGGGGGGGGGGGGGGGGTCGTATCATGAAAAAGGTTGAAAAACACTGGACTAGAATATAGAAAAAAATCTTATATAATTTTATTGGCATTTAATAAGCATTCCATTTTATTTGCATTTTTCCGTTACCAAAGCGTATTAATATAGTCTACTTATTATTATTATATATATATAATTATTTTTTCTATTTTGGTGCTATTTCATTGAAAAAAATTTTGTCTCGAGTTTATTTATTCAGAAGTTGTCGTGATTAAAAACAGATTTTATAATGTTTTGTTTCATTTAATATTATAAGGAATCCGCTTTATATGATTTTACATCGACCAATTTTCTACCAAAATGAATTTTCCTGTAATTTACCTGCGCATGAGTTTCCCGTAGGAAGGTGAAATTCTTTTTAAATCGATCCAGTATTTTTGATAGCTATTCAATGCATACAACCAATCAAACTTTCCTCTATATAATATTAGTGCAGCTGTGAACCATCGCTCACATAAACTCGACAAGAATTCTAATGTCTCTTGTCATTTTTGTGAGGTGAAAAAAGAAATTGTTTTCGTCCGCCTCTGGCTCTGATAAGGTCATCATCAGTCCATTAATGTTCTCAATGCTGGGACTCAGGCTTTTCTTATGGATGTAATCGATTTATATAGAGGATAGGGGCAAGATACTTCACGCGGGCCCAGACTGGTGGGTGTTAACGACTATAGATGCAGCCGAGACTTACAGCATAGCGTTTTCTTTCGAAGCACTAAGGAGCTCGAGATATATAATTTGGTCACCCATCTCATGACCGACCTTTGCGAAAGTCGCTTAGCATACGTATCGCAGACGTATAGCGTTAACCACTGCGCCGTCGAGTCAAGCTCCACAATAAAATAATTTCGACAAACAAAGATTTTTAAATAAAACAACTCTATTACATTAATTAATATCTGTATTATCTAAAATTACAAATCTTTTATAATTCCATTAAAACTATTATTCATTTGATTATTCAGCACGTATCGTTACTCTTGTCGTCGTCTAAAAATATTTCGATTTACATTTTATACAACATTTGCTAATACGTTAATTTATTAACATTATTGTGAGGTGAGAAAAAAATTATAACGCCACACACGACGAAATAATCTTTGAATATTAGCATATTAGCATCATATGCGACATTTTAGTCTGCCTTCGTACGATTAAATATAATTTTAGATACATCATGAAAATATGTTAAGTTACGGTAAGGGGGTTAAAAACTTATCAAATGTCGCTTTTAGAGCAGAAATTACATAAAAGAATCAAGCAGGTGATACATCAGTGTGCTGAACAAAACAAAAAGAAATTGGAAATAAGGAAAATACTTAATTTATTACATCGCCTGTTTTGTAGACATAATGGAATACGTTAAAGAATTGAGATCCCATATGTTTAAAATACATTGTTACACTTACATTGCACTTAATATATAATTAGCATCGTACAGAACCAAATTATTTAGTCATGTTATTTTCAATATGGCAACAGCTTTTTAAACGGAATTTCATACTCTGGCAATAAAAATAAAATTCTGGACTCAAGAGTAAAGGCAGTCAGCCGTTAGATTACTGCTTGAAGGATAGTCGGGATACAGATAAGGCGCGAGTCTATTTGAACTATCAGAAATAGCCAGTGTCAAGAAGATCAATTTAGTGTTGCCGTATTAAAAAAATGTTGCACTAAATAGTATATTAGTAGTGTATTAAAAACTACCAATTAAAGCACGTTTAATAGAATCAGATTCAATCAAAATAAAATCATGTGACTACATATTTATTTTCTCTCAACATTTGCACCAGATATGTGAAAAAAGTAACATTGAAATTACGGACAATTCCTCGCCGATTTGGTAAATGCTTTAAAAGGTTTTTTATCCATACTGTTATTCAGTTACTAAAAAAATAGTTTGTACTAAAGAAGTATTTGTTAAAAACCACGAATTACACGTGCATTTGGAACAAAAGTATTTGCGAAATTCATTCAAATCCTAATAATGCCTTCGTATATTTAAATGTAATCATAAGAACTAAATGCAAAATGCACTTCATTCAAAACAAATTTTTCATCTAAAAAATCTACAGTACGTATGATTTATTATTGATACGCCATTTTTTAATAGGATACACTACGTACTCTAGTGCGAGGAGGAGAAAACATGCGAGAACAGCTACGTCGTCACAAAACTTCCGTCGCGCTTACACTAATATTGAATTTCAACTCTTCATCTCATTCGCTCTTGTGTTTATGTGTGTGTGTGTGTGAGTTGTGTTAATAATTAGGATAAGTTTAGTATAAGTTGTGCAATTTCTTCTATTCTAATTAAATAAAGTTAAAATAAGTTCTAGTTTGATACTATATTTATTTTTTATTGCAATAAAGACTACCAGTCTATTTCGTTTCAATTCTAAATGCTTTAGAGCCAATAAAAAAAGAATATAATTCACACTACTATGATGTACAAAACCAGACTGTGTAAATTATATTGAATTATCAAAGGTATATTTTTAGTAGGTTTAGAAAAACTTAATGTGTCAACACTGAATGAACTTCTTTATAGAATGTTAAACATGGTCATTAATAAAATGTGTTGCAGGTAGATTCGTTAAAATGAAATTCGGCATATCTACATTCTATCTTGAACTCTATGTCTACAACATAATGCACAAATTCCTATAGCAATGTAATTACACACCAAAAATATCGATGTCAAACATGCTTTATTTTGGGTGAACATAAAGTTCAATCATCATCATCATCAGCCCTTTTACGTCCCCACTGCAGGGGCTCAGGCCTTCCTTATGGATGGTTAAGGAGGAAAGTTCGTAGTAAGTAACGTTAAAGTTCAATATGTTATGTAAATTTTAGAATTTCTTTTTGCTAAGTTTTGTATCAACACCAAAGAATAATTATCAAAAACAACTAGAACCACACACACACACGCACACTAAACTATAAAGCGCATTTATACAACTATAATTCTATCTCCTTTTAAATTTGATTTGAAGTTTTGAGAAACTTGAGTAGTATAAAATTTAACAATTTGTAACATGAAAGTGAAAAAGTAATATTCAAAGAAACAAATGTAATCGCTGTGCATTTTTTCCCCACAATTAGTAAGTTTGTATTTTTAAAACTCGCTATCAATGGATATACTTACAACACGCAGAGGTACTAAGTTATTCTTTACACAGAAAAATTATGTTACTATTAATCTATTACTAACTCTACTTAAGCAGCGTTACATTATCGATCGATACGCCTGATTTTGTGTCGATGTTTATACTATTTCAGTACATATATTATTGAAAATTAAGTCAATGCTTTGTATTTCTGGTTTGTAGGGATAGAAATCAAAAACAACATCATAGCATGAACTAAATATGAGTGTCTGTTTCTAGCGGTTTTAATGGAGCACGAGCCTACTATTAATTTTTAAACAAATACTACCGATTTAGTATAATATTGTCGGATCAATTGTACATGTATAAAATTAACTACGCTATTTAGTTAGTGAATTGAAAAGAAAACTATGCACTATGGAAGATCGGTAATTCTCCAGTACAGGTTTATTATAATTATTACTGGGAATTCCACCAGAGTTTGTAACAACCAACTCTCGGCTTTAGTGATGTATCTGAATCGATAATACTCTATATCGACACAAAATCAAGCGTAACTTTAAATAATCGTAAGGCAACCGTTGGTGGATAGATCTATGGGCGATTGATATGCTAGCATAGTCTTATAATTATTTGAATGTAGTTATTAATTTAAGACAATAACTCTAATATTTCCTTTACACTTTGGTCGTTAGGTAACTGTGGGGGGGGGGGATAATGTTAATATGTTGTTAGCGATCTATGCTATCACATCAATGCATGTATGAATACAAAACAGAACTATATTCTATCAAACATGTTAAGTCGCTTTGGCAAACTATAAATTGTCAAGCGTTTACTAAACAAGGACCAGTTTAATATTGACTCCTACAGATACTTTGAATGGGAATGTTAAGATTAAGGTGGGACACAGTTGGTTATATTCAGTTTTATTATCGATAAATGCTGCAAGGGCCTTAATGTGATATTTTTTATCAATAAAACCGTTCAAACAACCGTTTTTGCTACATTTTTTCCATTTATAATGTATATAACTAGCAATTTAAAAAAAAGTAACTAAATCAAGTGATCTTCGTAAAGATGATGCGACATATATGTTATATAAAATATATATATATATATATATGGTTACAATGCAGTAAGTGATAGAATCATGACCATCCTTACGCCTCTTCCGGTTAACTTAGTTCAAGTATACGCACCAACTGCTCAGTCTAGTTTTAAATATTTGTGAAAATAAAAATAGTTCAACTATTTTGAACAACTTTTTGTTGTGATAAAATAAATAAAAAAACAGAACTTAAGAACATTAAAATCAAATTTATAGTAATAAATGTACTGATAGAATATTCAACAATATCATTCCACCTTAATCTATAATATTAATACAAATTAATAAACACTAATTGGATGCTAATTGTGAACTTGTAAATTATGTGAATAAAGTTCTGAATAGTTAGTTATATTTATAATTTGCCATAGCAATCCTGGTTGTGCACAGTATTGTTATTCAATTGGCTCTCAAACACAACTGTAATTTCATTAACTTTACATATTTATTGTACTCCATTCATTTTATTCGACCAATCTTGTCCAATATAGTAAAATATATATATCTTGATCTTATATATCTGAAGGAGATTCTTTCAAGAAGACTGAAGGCACTTTGTAGTGAAAAATATACAAAAATAAATAAGTTACGTACAGACATGTACAATTAAACCAAATAATCTATCATAAAATAATGAAACTTAGATTTAACCAACACTGCTATAGAATAAAAAGCAAAAGTGAAAATTCTAGATTGTACACAGTTAAAATGTTTAATTGCCAGTACTTTTTATTATAATACATAATGCCAACAGTCTTCAGTGTTACCATTGTCGAGTGGTGTTGTAAGTGCAGTCGGTATGTTACATTGGTGTTTCGGTAGTCACTAGAGTCTTTGTATAACCTCACTTGTTAGCCTTCCCGCTTGATGCTGGGCATTTGTGGTGGTGGTTCAGCCAATCCCTTCACCTGAGCAAACATAATATAAAAAAATGATTTTTAATCATTGCAATGATTTTACAGTGAAAAATTATTATTTAATTACTTTAATTTTTATTGATATTTATCTTAAAGAAAAATTGATTAATAAATATGATAATCTTTCGAATCGGGATCGACTGATATAACCAATTGATCAATAGGATTACCTTAAGGCGTGCGGCGGTCTTGAGGAAGGCGGGCAGCTGCTCCTGCGAGACATTCACTTCACCGGCGTACATGAACTCCAGGATCGCCTGCAGATGCAGGTATGATACATCCTTCAGGATTATTATGGGATGCTTTGATGGATTCTCCTGTCGTACAATCATATTGTAAAATATTATTAATAAAGTTTATTACACTAGGTAAGTCATATATGTAGAACTCATTTACATTAATTTTGATTTATATTTTATACATAATTACTAATTATTTAATGTATTTTACAAAATATTATATCATTAATTAAACCAGATCAATGCTGACATATATGTATGTCTGTACCAGCATATATTTTTGAAACAACGATTATTATTTTATACTTTTAATGCATTACACATTGTGTGTTGTGTATTTTCCTAGAAAATTTCAATACTAAATTATCCATGAATGAAGTCATGCGCTCTAATTGGTGTTTCGTTTGACGTATGAGACAGACTACAAATATTCTTGATTCAAAAAATGCTTTTGAATTTTACATTAACAGTCTTTTGTTTATAAGTAAGTACATTACATTATTAGAGTAAAAAGTAATTGACAAATAAATATTCAAGCCTTAAGTGTTGGTATGTACCAGTGCAGTCACAGGTTAGCTCAATAATAACGGTGTAAGATTCCATTTTATATATAACATCCTCTAATGTTTACTTACAGTATCCGCGTGTGAAGCTATTAAGGCGAGTTTACATGAGGTCAGCAACTGACTTTTGAGGCCAGTCAGTGCTGACTTTTTATAAATTGAATTGAAAAGTCGTTACACAGCTGCTAACTTATGACTAGATCCCATTATCGTGAAAATAAACAAATTATTTGTATTTCTATCAAACTTATTATATTAATATTGACGCCATAAATATCCATCTCTCAAAACATAAAACTTGTACCTCTTATGAGTATTTTTGTACATGGTGCAATCAGTTTCAGTGCCAACAATGACGCCGGTTACTGAATTTGTGTGAATCAGCCTTTAGGCTTCACTTTTATCCACATACTAGTAAATTAAAAGAGGGTTCATACACCAATAATGATGTTTCATTAGTTATGTAGCTGTTATATTGTTATCACAGTCAAATCAAACCTTAGTAGTATCTCTAAAATTTACTACACTATTCATGTTTCTTGATAAGTAAAATTAAGTCCGATCATAACTATCTCATAGACCTTAAGCTTATTAGGTTAGCTGTTTGTATGGGACTATACACAATATATTAGGGTGGTGTATTAAAAAGATTTTCTTCAGAGTAGGAATTGATAAATAATAATAATTGGTTTTAAACCAGATCTATCAAAGCTTACCTTTCCAGTTGCCATGTTTGATGACCAGTCAGATCAATGTAGAAAATGGTCTTTTTTTATATTCTCTTAGATTTAGGTGTTGCTGTACCTATGCAATCCCAGATAATCTACAATTCAAGGCCTTTAGCTACTCATCTTTGAATCTAAGCAATGTATGTGATGTCGAATACATGCATAAAATACATGGTATACAATAAAGAAATTGGCTTATTAACTTACCTCTAATAAGCTTTTGAAGTACGGACTACATGCTGAAAGGACCATTTTATGTGCTTTACATGTCTGTCCCTCACAAGCTAAAGTCACCTGCAAAATACAATTCATTGTTTGGATTGACAAAAAATGTTAATATATAAATGCTATTCTACAATGCTTAATAAGATTTTCATCACAACTGCATATACAGTTAACATTAATGCAACCAAACTAGAGCCGCATTGTGGGTTACGGCTCATTCTCCAAAAAATATTTTATTTATAAAATTAATGTCTAACAGTGGAGACTTCAAGATCGAGGAAAGAATTTGAATTTTGTAAATCTAGGTAGGTATTTATCAAGATATTGTCCTGAGAAAAATCAGCAAGATACTCAGCAAAGGTAATTTTGACAAATTATTGTACTGGAACCTCATAAAATATCTGAATGCAAATAAATTTTAAAGTGGGTAATTTGCTTTATAATATGTATCACTGACTGCTGTTTACATTCAGTTAGAAATTTAACTTTTAATTTTTGTTATTGGATTGCTTTTTATGACAAATAGATATTGATACATGGTAATAGTTAATTTAAAAAAGTACTTACATCTGTAAAGCTTTTCTCATCCCTCAAATGCCTAAACGAAGTGACCATATTCGTTTGAAAATCGTTCCATTTTAAGAAAAACTGCTGATCACCCATATTGGTTACTTTTGACACTGCAATCATATTTACATGCATAAATAACACGTATTGTATAAAGAAATATATAAACAGCGTCTCATTGAGCATTCTATAATTTTATATTAAGTTTCTAAATATACGATTTGACCTTATTTTTTATAATTTATTTGTAAAAGATAAAAGTGCAACAATAAAAACGTCACTAGGTTTGTGGAATGCATAGAAAACAAGCTTATATTTAAACAAAATTAGATATGATTTACGTTTAAAAGCTTCTTACTTACCGAACTACCTATCCTAGATTAAAAAAAACACTTTGGAAATCTCGAAATTATATGAAAGATTAGATTTTTATGATTCAAAAATAAAGACGCCGTCTAACATAAAATTAGCGACTTCTTTCTATTTCTTCAAATTCCTTCATTCACTATTTGAGTTGCCATGACAAATATACATTTTTGCCATATTTAGACAACGATGATGTATTTTTAAAAATGTAACTAGATGGCGGTACTATGTTCGAGCATTTTCTGTCACTGAGGGAATATTTAACAACTTGACATTTTGATAACTGCCAAAATCAAACTTATTCTCAAAATCAAGCACGATGTCACTAGGTACTCTAATAGTTGAATCTGTGAGTTGAATCAAATTGTTTAGATAGGTGTTCTGATTTAGTTTCATTCATTCGAATTTAGTTTTGAAAAATAATAAATAAGTCGTTGTCTACCATCATCATCATCATCATCACCAGCCATTTTACGTCCCCACTGCAGGGGCTCAGGCCTTCCTTATGAATGGTTAAGGAGGATGGGCCATGACCCTCCATGCTGGCCCAACGCGGATTGGAGGGTATTAACGATTGCAAATGCAGCCGGAATTTAACGGCTTAACGTGCCTTCCGAAGCACGGAGTAGCTCGAGTTAATAATTTTTTGGTCACCCATCCCGTGTCCGACCCTTGCGAAAGTTGCTTAACGACTACGATCGCGGGCCGCGGTGCTTATCCACTACGCCATCGAGTTACTCTCGTTGTCTATCAATTATATATAAATTCGTATAAGTTGCTGGTATTTTGTCTAAGTTATTTTGACCCGCGTGACGTAATTTGAATAAAGAAAGTATAGACAACACAAAATGCAAGAGATAAATTAATTATTAAAATATATATAAATAGTCAGTCAACATATTATTATAATAATTACGTAACTATTAGTTTTTTTATTTATTGCATGAATTTTTGGAAAGGGTATGTGGAAAATAAAAATACGTGAAAAAAATAGCATTTATAATATAGTTTGTTATAACGCGATAGCAAACGGAAAGGTAATTAAAAAAAAATAGCCAATAGTAACAATCAAATGAGAGACATAACACGAAATGAAAAAAACTCAACAATGACAATTGAAAACTACAAAAACGTGTGTGACCTCAACACAACCAAACTCAATAAGTGTTACTCGTCAACCAGTGCTTACTTGTTAACGGTATTGATTGTTGAATGCAATTAAGTCACCAGAATGGCGGCCAGGCGCATTAGCAATTTTCAAGGATTATAACTCTAGTACTAAAAAAACAAAAAAATATAAGTGACGATTTGATTTATTTCAATTTTTTTTTTTGTTTTTCATAATGGTGAATACGTTTAAAGGAACGAAAGCCATCGTCTACTTTCTAAACATTATTTATCATTGTACGTACCTCGACACGAGAGAAGATTGTCACATCATTATTAATTTATATCTATCTGTAAGATCAAAAATCCAACTTGGTCCCTCATTATGGTGCTTATGGTAATTTAAAGTCTATTTCATTATGAATTAAATATAAAATTTGTACTTTTTTTTACAGATACATAGTTTTTAGATATGTATTGTCAATATGTTGAAAAAATATATAATTTTATTTCAATAAATATAGTTTTATCAAAAGTTTTTGCTGACACCAAAGAGGAAGTATTAAAAAAAGCACTAAAGCACTAAAAAAGCACCTCCACAAGATGGCGACTCTAGAAAAAGTTGATTTTTGCAGGAAACGAATAGACCAAAGACAGTCATTTCCGTTCATTTTAAAAACTGAAATTTTAAAAGTTTGAAACTTATATATCAATACAAATACAAAAAAGTACAAATACAATATAAGTTGTTAATTGAGTTTTGAAAACTTATTTATTTTTAAATATGAAAGAAAACCGGAAAGGTTGCCATGGAGAAATCAAGAACGTATCGTAGCAAAATCTAGTTTTATTTCGGGAATTAATTTTTTTTAAATACTTTCTCATTGTAATAATTTTCTACTTACCGAAATCAAGTGGAAATTAACAATAATGGTATCACCGTACGTCTATTGGATAAGTTATTGCTGAAAGTGTATTTCTTATTGAGATTGAGCTTAATATTAAAAGTAAAAATCTACCTTACCGAAAAAATATTTAAATAATTATTAAAATACAATTATTAAAGTATAATTTCCTAATCGAAATTCTTTATTAAATTGCAGGTTTCGCCATCTTGTAGGGAGTAGCAACACTAATATTTGTATGACTAGGTATAACCTATTTTTATTATAATATCACAGAGGGCGTTGAAGTTAAACTCTGTTTTTGGAGAATATTAGATAGAATTCATATTATTTTTCTGGATTCATTTGAGATCCTCTTAGTTTCCTTACAGGAATGTTATTTTCTTTGTTTTTGTGTTAGATCCCATCACTTTACTGAAAAGATCTCATTTCCAATATGACGATTACAGGCCTACACGGACGGTTTTCGATCAGTCGACAGTTTAGACACGTGCTAATGGTAGCAATTCTGTTAAATGAACTATAAAATTAGGTTTAGTTATGCCAAAATGCATTTCCAAACTTGTGAATAAATAGTCATTTAAGTAACAGACGAACCAAGATTGGCTTGTAGAGAATGCCTCAAAATTAAAAATAATGAAAACCTTACGGGGCCTCAATTAATCTCCTAAATGGATACTTATCCATTCAGATTAATTACGACTCCCTTTTACCTCTGTTTACGTTCCCATATAAATACGCAATCAAATATTGATTTCATACATTTTATAAAATCGATCCAAAAGCCTTTTTGGAGTCATCTTTGCGATTTTTTTATCGAGCCATTTATTGAAATTTCTTTTTCAGTTTTAGTAAACAATCGATTATATGTTTAATTTTCATAAAATTCATAACCTTAGAATAAAATTGGTTTAAAAAGTAGTAGTTTCGTACAACCTCATCTTAATTATTTTTATTTGGGTATACCTATGACATGAGTCCTGCTTAAAATCTGACATTTTGCTGTAGTATTAGGTACCTTATAAATAAATAAAAAAGTCCAATTTAGCAATAAGAGATGTTTATTGAATAATACACCATATAATAGTTGTTTCACAAAGAAACATTTAAAAAACGACACACACAAATATTGCAAAAAAAGTATTTTAAGGCAAATATGTGAACGGTAAACATACTATGTAATATAATATTATTACTATCATAATCATGCATTTTTATTGGGTAAAAGTTTATTTTAACTAACTCTATCCTTATTTATAATAAGAGCAATTTAAACACACAAACACTACTGTTGAAAGGCCAAGCGGTGTTGCCACATTCTTAGACTAAATTTACTACTATTTAAGTACGAGATTTCTACTTAAAACAATTTTTATGTAACACAATAATTAAGAGATACCATTCAATATATTATCGTTTCAATTCGAACTACTGGCCGTATTAGATACTAGCAAATTATTGTTAAAATTATAAATAGTAATTACAATATCAATGATGGTTGTCATTTTTCAACTATCTATAATTGACATCAAGCGGGATTTTACTTTGATTAAAAAATAATATAATTACATTTTAAACTTACTTTGGTATACCTGTTTATTAATATTATCTAACATCATATTCAATTAAGATGAATGTTATTGCTAAATCTGTAATGAAAGACTAATCATATAATATCCACAATATAAATAGTATGTGCTTAATTATGATTAAGTACGTAAGTTTTTTTTTTGCATTAATTAACACGTATAATTAAATTACATTTGAAACCACATAATATACAACTATGTATGTTAACATTTTCATGTTATAATATGTTTTTATATCTAGTTTTAGCATAAAATATTTACAAAGCAATCGGACTTAGGTATATTCTAGCGTATGATTTGTCAATCCACAAGGAGACCATTTTCTAATCTAAAATAACCTATTTAGAGTTTAAAACTCCCGTAAAATATAATATTGCTGCACCATTAGAATTTTTTAAATAATAATAATAGAGAAAATTAAATAATATATTTTTCTTGCAATAACATTATATCTCTTAATTTTTTTCAACGATTAAAAATCGTTAGAGATTTTTTAACATAAAAATATTATGACGGTAAATTAAAATCCACCTATTAAAAAAAAGAATATCTAAACTAATTATCTTACGTCTTACATTCGTCATATATATTATGGAGATCCTACATTTTTCTTATATTAAAAATTTTTACTGTCTATAGTCTTTGTCGTTAAAGAAATGCCATGAATTTGAGCAAACAAAAGTACATTACAATAATTACAACTTTAAATTTTTAACAATTAGAAATATTAGTTTTAAAAAGAGAGATAAAAGATTAGGAAAAAGCGCAGAAGTACTTATTAGGGTCTAAATACAAGATAATTATTACAATAAAACTACTCCTATTCATTGGTAGTATAGCTTGAGGTTACATCGAATACAATCCAGTATAATACTTAAGATAAAACGAATTTAAAAATTCACAAATTTGGTATTATTTAATATTAAATATCGATATATGAAACACGTCTAATATTGTGACTAGAAAATTTTGGATTACTAAAAGTGTTTGGCATAAAGCTTTATTCCTCTTATTACAAAATGAAACTTATAAAAAGTGGTAATTTTATAATCGGAGTAAAGCGAGACATTTGTTAAATAAATTGGATAGAATTCGGCGTTTAGAAATTGCATTTTGTATAGAAAATATTTCCATTTAAATAGCGATAAGCATCAATTTGTTATATAAGCTCCGTTTTGTAATAAGACAATAAAACGAATTCAACGACAGTTCTCAAGCAATGTCTTCATTTGAAAATAGTTTAAACGCGACTAGATGGAAATGCATAATGTACCTGGATTTGGCTTGACAAAAAGCTATGAGGATTTGGTGCTTGTTTTAATAACAATTATACAAACATTGATTTGACCTAAAATTAGTGCTACGGGTAGATAATTTTATTATATAAAAAACGTTTTAAGATATTACTTAGAGACTACTCATTAAAAATATAGAAATGTACTTCAGTAAACTGGCACTATTAAAAAAAAAAAAATCGTTGCTTTTCACCCACACAATAAGCGCTTATAATCTAATGTTAAGGCAGAAAAGGACGGTTTTCACTTTATTTATTAAGGCATTATAAAGGCACCTATTCAAAAGAAATTGCCAAAAATAGAATATAGAAGAAAGTTTGCACACCGAGAACTTATTTAACCTACTCGTTGCTAGATGGCGATGTACAAGGTTTCTGAATAGTCGGGTTCGTTGCTGAGGTTTGAATCTGGATTGGTAATTTTAGTCCCCGCGGGGCTAGGATTAATCTAGCCGGCGTCACGAGGACTAAAGCGTACTCTCATTTGTTTACGCCCAGGAATTTGGCCGCTTCGTCCGCTGACGAGAGGAGTTTGTTGATGATCGTCTTGTCGGGTATGCCTAGAAGTTTGCCGATTAGGTCTCCGCCATTTTCTGTGTCGTTTTCTGCTTCGGACGAGTATTTGCGGGACGTCATGTCTAATTTGAGCTTTTTCTCGTACGGTGCGGCGGGTGGGGAGTTGTTGTTGTTGACGTTGCTCGGTATTTCGTTTCCCGAGCCGTCGTCGTCTCGGTAACGATATCTGCGAAAATTATTAAGCATAAATAAGTTATACGGCACGGAGTCGACACTTAAGACGATAAAGCTTTGCAATTTATTCGGAAAGGCCTGAGCCTCAACGGCGGGGACATCAGTACTCACCCGTTGGCGAGTTGGCCGTCGTCGGGCGGCGTGTGGGGCGGCGTGGGCTCGTCGTCGTCGGTGACCTCGTCGCGGTGCTTCTTGCGGTGGCGCAGCATGGAGTGCTTCAGCGTGAACCGGCGGCGGCAGAGGTCGCACGCGAAGGGCCGCTCGCCGGAGTGCGTGCGCATGTGCCGCCGCAGGTCCTCCGCGGACCAGAACCGACGCACGCAGAACGCGCATACCACCTGCCGACAACGGTCACCGTTCTACAAACCGTTCGCACTGGATGTGACTAAACGTATTTGGGTAATACAACGATCATCCTAATGCTTGTTTTCGCTAAATCTGACACCTTAATATTTGGAAGTCCGAGTGAATATTTCACCGATCTAGCCGCAGTCGGCTATTACGTCAAGATATGATAGCATTTTGTAGTCTTAGAGATGGCTAGGCCAAGAGATGGCAATCTTATTAGACCGACGAGACAAAAGCTGCAATTTATGAAATTCCCCAGTTTTTAAAGATACCCTGACAGATCGTTTCGATATTATTTTTATTATATTAGAGATTTTGTATGATTACTAAAATATGGATAGATTATAGTATGTGCTTTCGAGAGTAAAATATTGAAGTTTTGTAAATGAAACTTGAAAGCCGGTATTTTATAATATAACAAAAGAGTCGTAAGTCGTCGACCCCCGCGCTAGGCGTGCGTAATGTCAGACCACAGATGTGTATAAAAAGGAATAGACTCATGACACACTAAAATTGATATCGTTAAATCTAAAAACTAAACTAACTAAAAACTATATGTGATAGATTTCAAAAGTAAGTCTCACCTTTCTGTTGGCGTGGTCTGGAAATTTCCCTCTCTCATCGTCATCGGCACTTTCGCTTCTATCACTAGCTGCGTCCAGAGCTCCCTTGTTCACCAGTTGCTCATATTCAGACAGATGTGACGAAGCTAAATGACCTAGCGCTCCAGTTCTGTCACCGAAAGAGGCATCGCAGAGATGACATTTGAAGACTATGCCGTCTGTGGCGTCATCGTTTTCCGTATTCGGAGAATCAGGATGATCACCGGTCCCATGTCTAGATGACATGTGTTTTTTTAAAGTGTCCATAGTTGAAAATGTGCTGGTTGGACACGAAGCACATTTAAACGGTCTCTCTGGAACAGTTCTCGTGTCGTTTATAGGCTGCGGTTGGGCCACAGTGTCTGGGATAGGTTCAGCGAGTATAGCTCGAGCTGATCCTCCATGTTTCCTCAACAGATGGCGGTCACAGTTAGATTTGGTAGTGAACAATAATGGGCAGTGTGGGCACTTGAAAGGTTTCTGACCGGTATGGGTGAGCACGTGACGTCTGAGTGAAGATGACCAAGGAAACTTTCTGTGGCAGTATGGGCATGACACTCTGTTTGGTGCTAAGCTGTATGCGGACTTTTTCTTAGGTGGTTGATTCCCAGTATCCGATTCGGATCTGAAAAGGAGATAAATATTAAGGATTTCATTTGACAGACAAACTTAGTAAGATTGATTTATCTATTTAATATTAATTTCTCGTTTTTGTATTTATAAAAAAACATTACATATTTATTGTATATACTCACTTGTTTTCATCACTGCCAGAATTATTTCCTTCACTGGTCGAAGCGACCAGACCTTCCTCGTCTTCTTCTTCATCGCTGCGTGAAGGTACAGGTGGCACAGGTAATGATTCAGGACCAGACACAGTATTAGGTTCTGTTCCAGTCTCAGTCTTATCAGTTGTAATCGGAGTTGGTTTGTTTATTAAATTTCCAGCTATTTTTAAGTCAAAGTCTTTATGTAGTTCTTGTTGACGCGTTGCCATCAAAATTTCTGCTGCAGCCCTATGGGCTGCTGAGTGTTCATCAAATTTTTGATCAGATTCAGGTTCTTCATCGATTACTAACGCATCTTCTTCGTCTTCTTCATTGTCTGCTACTTCGTCAGAATCTCTTCGTGCTGGAGATCGATCGCTTTGCTGCAAAGGTCTCTCTAAATGACGAGCCAATAGGGCGTACTTCACTCGATCTGTTAAAGCTTCTGTATTAGGGTATGGCGGAGGAGCTCTTGGGGCTGGTCTTCTTACGCTCCAATGCTGCGGATGTTGCTGTTTAACATGTCTCTCCATGTTCGATCGAAGAGTAAAACGAGCGGAACATTGTGAACAAGAAAAAGGTCTTTCAGTGCGGTATCGACGCTGTTTCTGTTTTGGCATCAGGATGCCGTTTTTTATCACCATCTTTACTGAATCGTTGGGCGATACGAGATTGTTACTTAACGGTCTGGGAGATTCAGATTGCGGAGTTGGCGAAGGTGACCTAGGTAAGGCTAACGGCTTTTGCTCCTCTTCTTCGGGCTCATGTTTGGTCGGTATTTCTTGTTCATTTGCTACAAGTCGACCTCCAGACATACTTAAGCCACGGATTATTTCCTTTTGGATACGTTGCTTTATTTCGGCAAGTTCTTGAGAATCAGTTGGGTGTGGAAAAAAAGAAGGCTGAAGAAAGTAAGGGCTGATTGGAAATGAAGCGGGTAGTGATAGGCCTGGGATACCCGGAACTGCTCCAGCATAAAGCTGCGATAATTGATTTGCATAATAGGTTGGGTCCAGTTTTGGAAGAGTATTTTCGAATAATCTTTGTTGAGCTAGTAAAAGCCTTGCCTTTTCAAAAGTCGATGCAGCAACAGCAGCCGCGTCAGGTTCATACGAAGGTCTCGGTGGTGGCTTAGGTTCATCATCGTCGACGTTGCGTTTCTTTTTACTAAGATCTAAGACATCACAACTATTATTGTCACTTGTACTGAGATCAACAGGAGCCTCCTCATCATAAGTTTCAGACGGAGTATCATTAGCTTTGTATGTCAATTCCGGTGGTCTGAATTCTGGTATTTGATTTAATTGGCCGATACCTTTTACTTTAATCCTAGGTAAAGCTTGTTCAGTTTCTCTTTGAGCTAGTAAAGGACTTTCCAGTAATGGTTTTGCTGTTAATGCTGCTACTGGGTGTCTTTCAGCAATAAAACTAGGATTAAAATGTGTAAGCGGCGTTTCTCTACCAGTACTCTCGGTGCGTCTTTCAATTTCCGGCGTTTGGAATGCAAGTGACCTTTTGACTTCATCACGAGCTAGTTTTGAATTGACTTCATCATTATTAGGATCTTCGGATGGGTGATAGATAATTGAGCGTTTAACGTCTTCTCTTGTAATTTTGGCGTGTCTGTTTCGGAGATGTCGTTCACAGTTTGCTTTAGTAGTAAAGGCGTAATTACAAACTGCACATTCGTATGGACGATCACCATTGTGTGTGCGCATATGTCGTACTAAAGCAGCTTTGTCAAGAGAAGCATGAGGGCACATATTGCACTGATACGGTCCTGGACCAGTTCCACTGAGATGAACTCTATTGTGCCCTTTTAACGCACGCAAGTTAGGGAACTTAGCCGGGCATAATCTGCAAGGAAATTCACCCCTCAATTTCATTCGTCTAAATTCTGCTGCAAAGTTATCTTGTGTTTCTTCTTGTTCTCTATCCTTGGAAGCAGTATCTGGAGGCGTCAAGACGGCATCGCCTAATGATACTCGAGTGCCGGTTAACCTTTCTAGAAGGCTTCCAGCAGATGTTACGTTTAAGATTGATTGAATATCTGCTAGATCTCTCGCTGCATCGATGTGTCTTATGCCATTGGATAGATGACTGTCTTCAAACTTTGGAGTGAATCTATCCATGGGTGGCGTTAGAGTGCCCGGGATGCCGTAAGACCTATTTCTAAGATCAAGTTTAGCAAAGAAGTCTTCTCGCCTGTCACGCTCAGGGCTAGGAACTCGAGTGTTGGTGCACGTCTTCTTGTGAATTTCCAAAGTTTGTCCGCTTGGGAAATCTCGTGAGCACATATCGCATCGGAACCGCTGTTCTGTAACCGTTATATTACGTTCACATAAACTTCGTGCAATATCTGGGTACTTTTTGGTTGAGATATTAAAGCTTAGGTCGTCGTAACCTATTCTGCTGTCATCTCCGTGAGCGGTGAACCGATGAATATCAAAAGTGTTGGCAGAATCGAATCGTAAATGGCATTTAGGGCATTCGAATCTTGCAGTTCGCTTGTCAAGCGGCATCGACGAGGGGGACATGGCGGCTGCCCTCTTTCTAATTCTTCTCGATTCTTCCTCTTCACTCCTATCTGAGCGGTTATCACTATCGATGCTGGTCGTTCTATTCGGTCTCATGTCTTTAGTTTCGACCATTTTGTCCATATCTTCTTCAGTTTCTATTTTAGCTTCCGTGATGACCTCCTCTGTTTTGATATCTGCAACAACAAAAGAAATATGTTACGATTGATTGTCGGTTTGTTTGAATAGCACAGGGCGCTTTCATTAAAATTTCCTAGAAACCACGACAATAGGTGACTAAGTCAATTCACTTGTATTATATGTGGGTTTTATTAAAATAACATAATGATATTGCGTATTCATTGTGGACACCGATGCTTGGTGATTAGTTAATAGATTTTATCAAAAGATCGAATGCTAAATGCCGACTGTAATAAACGAAATTGTGTCCTAACAGACAATGGATGGTGTTTTTGGTAAGAAAATTGTTGTCTCGTCATCGTATTCGCTAGATTTTCTTTTTTTTTTCATCAAAGAATGTAATACGAAACGTTTGCCAAGCCAAAACAAATTCTATAATCTGTAAGGAATCCATAAAAATCCCATTGTACAGTAGAAAAAGATGACTAAGTGATACCTATCGCCTTTGTCTTAAAAAAAGGTGTTGAAACCTTATGTCGTTGGTGGGAAGGCGTGTTTTGTCGGGCTTGTTTGTGGCGCGGTATGGGCGTAAAAATCAATACATAATATCTGACGTCACACTAGTCTGCCTATGTTAGATACCTTGGTGTAGTATTCAATCGTTAGTTTTAGATATAAAAATGATACTGCAGAACAAATTAAAAAAAAAATTTATATTTGAGCTACTGACTTAAAATCTCTGCCAAGTCGAAACAGTTGATAGTGTACATTTTTAATAAATATTACAAAAAGGTAGTTTCTAACGCTGATTTTTTGTTTGTAGAAATTAATCTTCGGAAATACTCATGCGAGCATGGAAATTATTTAACTTACGGAAAGCTACATCATGCGCGTATGACATAGGCTTCAATTTACGGGGGCGAAGTTGCAGGAGAATACCTAAATAGGAGAAGGTGAATAATTTCCCATTATTTGAAGCGATTGAACAGACAAAAATAATTTCGGTTATTATGTTAAATGGTATATGTTATTTTTGAGAATTTGTAATAGAAAATCTTTCGTAAATCGACACCGGAAGACCATATTGAGAAGAGTAGAAGATAATAATAACAGCTGTATTTTTGGAAAAATTATTTCATATGAAGTTGCTATTCATTCAAAAAATGAAAATAATTTAAGAAAAAAATGTTGATTGTGCTCTTTTCATAATAATAAATCGATGTTAAAAAATATTATTGCAGCAGGTAAAACGTTATTGAATTTATTTACCCAGCCGGAAATAGAACTTAGGAGGCATTGACTTAAAGACACTTATTATAATGCATATCTTTATAAAAGCTGTTTTGTTTATTGTAAAATTTAATGCTTGTCTCCGGGAAAAGTAATGAATATTAATAATTTGCCTACTGATTCTTTAATTTATTAAAGCAAAAAGACAAAAGAGTTCGTTTGAAATCTACTTTTACACAGTCTGGAATCGAACTTTCATCTTTATAATATTAGTATTGAGTATAAGTTGAGAGTTGTAAATAAATATGAAGATATAAAACTACATCTTCACATTAATGGTGAGAGTCCACTGTGTCCGTACGCAACGGACGCTCGGTACGCCGCGGATTTTCCATAGCCTTATTTAGGATTCCTTTCAGTATCCGTACCGGCCGCACCGACCGTACACATTATACGAGCAAGAAAAGCAAAGAGAATGTGATGCGTGCCAGTGACGTCATACTATAGAGCTACTATTTATAAGTACATTACTTCGCAATGTGTCAAAGCTGTCTAATGGGTACTACTTCTATTAAAAATCTGAATGCAGTATAACAGCAAATCCGTACAACACGTTGCGTACCGTGTGCGCGCGTTGACACAGTGAACGTCCACCTTTAGATTCATCTCACGGGGGCCTATGGGCAGAGAAAACAAAGTGCTCGGAGGCACGGTACTTACCATATATCGTTCCTAAACTATTATGACGGAAATCGTACTTCCAAATACGCATGCTGCGAAATAACAGGGAAATACCTGTGACGAAACACTCCAGAAATGGTGTCAGTGACATTAAACAAAAAAACTAATATTATAGGATACTCGATCGCAGGACAATAGTTGCAGCAACAAAAGTATGACTAATTGACAGACGTCAATAATGAGATTTGCATTAGTCACAGTTTAATCTCTTGTATGTATGGATGTATGGATGAAAGTATGTACATCAATTCATTGTGCACATCATTTACATAGTTGTTTATAAAGTTCTTATACTATACTGAAGTTATTTTTCATAATTTCATAGTGTTTTCGATTCTTTCTTTTACTAGCTTTGTATATATATTTTACATAACGATAATTCCGTATTCTATAGATTAAATAAAGAATAAAATGTAATTAAATTCCATAAACGATGACCGGATCTTATTACTTAATTGGAAACACCTAAAACGCATATCTTTTTACAATGTCGCGCCATTATTTAGATATCAACATCCGGTAATGAGGTCACATTACACAACTACCTCTTTTACTCTGTCCTGTTATGTCTAAGCTAGTGATAAATCTAGGACTGTCTAAATTTATTTTACATTATTTTTAAATTAAGAAAAAAATAGAAGCTTAAGCATCATTCGCGTGTCTGTCTGTTTTGCAATAGCTGAATTTATCCGAAACTAACGAACGAATTGAATTTGGTATCTAAGTTTCACTATGTAAGTTGGTGAAACAAAGATGGACGTGAAACTTAATTTTAATGATGGGAGTTATTTTTGTGAGCAAGATAAATGAGAAAATTAAAAAAAATATTATGAAAATGTGAGAGATTTAGTTATCTTTAATCTCAATATATGAGTACGATTACAAATTCAAATAATTATTATCAAAATTTATTTGACTCCATAACTGAAATATTTATTAACTTAATTCTAGAACAATTGAACTTGGAGTTAAATTGTTTTTACACTGCACTTATGTTTGTTTGAATTTCCCACCCCAAAAGCTTATTAAAAACATGGGAGTATCATATAAAATAAGCGTTATTTAGTTTGACAGATAACAATCTGTGTTATTGCGGTTGCAGATAGATAAAAATATTGAAATATCAAAGGCGATAAATGTTCAAAGACAAAAATATTCATATTGTTTTTTATTTTATTAAAAAAGTAGAAGAGATAACTTTTGGCGTTGACTGTACTAGCCATGCTGTTTGACTTCTTTAACGAGAAAACTATTAAAAAAGGATAACTAAATGCAATTTTCTTTATGTACTGCGCATATGATGCCTTCACAAGAGGTACCAAAAAATGTTGGATGCTACGTAAAATGTAAGTACTTATATTTATTTTATTCGAATACATTTTGACTTTGACTTTACACATTTTACCACCTAAAACAACCATCTCAGTATAGAGACTATCGAGCATGGAGAGTATTTGAAACGTTCATCTATAAAAACCCAAAACTTAAACCTATTCAAAGGTTGTATCATTAAATGAATAAGAAACCTGTCTGGAATGTCGAAGTTAAGCCGGTTATAGGATGGGTGACCAAATATTTATTATTTCGGGCTCCTTCGTGCTTTGAAAGCCATTGGTAACGGCCGCATCCGCAGTCGCTAGCACCCACCAATAAGGGGCCCGAGTCGTTTATCAGGACCCATTCTCTCTATTCGATTCTTATCCATTCGTATGGAAGGTCTGTGTACCAGCAGTGGGTACATTTTACGTATCTCTAGTAAAATTTAAAAAAATAAGCCCACATTCCTTACGTAATTCCTTACCTACGTATCATTCGTCAAATAACTACACTATCAGAGTAATACAGAAGGAAATCATATTGCTACAGTCTTAAGCATCTTTAGCACATGAAATAATGTGGCAACACTGGTCTAATAAGTGCCTAAACAGGCTTCGAGGGTAACACAACTGGAACGTATCATATTTTCTTAGCAATATAATCGGTGCACGCAACTATCGTTTGGCAACATCGCGTTTTACTATGTGGCGTAATACTTCTACGTAGTTGTTTGTGTTTACGAGAAATATAGGATGAAAATTAAAAATATGCCGCTAAAGTTTTGCCTTTTGATTCGCTGGAACTCACATGTAATATTAGGAAATTCGTTATTTTAAGACATTATTAATAAAGGAAACAGATAATTTTTAGTCTTTTATTAATTAATTAGCATTTTTATTAGTTACATTGCATGTAATGTACTTCTTCTACTTATCTATGCTAATATTATAAAGAGAAATATTTTATTATTTGTATGCATTAAATAGGCTCCGAGACTATTGGACCGATTTAAGAATTTCTTTCACCTGAGCTACATAATACGCCGGTGATATAGGCAATAATAAACGCCTAAGTTAGGATTTTTTAAATAACATTAATACGTGAAATAAAAGTTTTGGATCCTTTTTTACGAAAATTGCGCGGAGGAACATGATATGTGGCTCATGAATAGTCAAACCAATATTTTTACTTTATAATAATAAGAGTAAAATACTTCCGGCTAAGGTAAAAACAATATAACTCTTCTATTTGAAGTCTAATATTGCGGTTGGAGAAGGAAAATCTCGTTGTTTTATTTGCAGAGCAAAAAAAAAATAGCAATGTAAGAAATCGAGCGTCGTTGTTTCGAGGAACATTCCACGAAATACGAATTAGACGTAAAGAGGACATACGTATCGCTTTTACTGAATTTTTATAACGATTACGTTGCGATACGATTGTTTCGTTTATTTTGAAATGAGGATATATTCAATGTTTAAAATTTTATCAAAAAATAGGTTTTAATCGAGAACTGAAGAGGTATTATTAAAAAAAAAACAAGTTTTAAATTAACTTTGTTCCTGGCACACTACATATCGCGATCCGGGCGGGAGAGCAGTCACCCGGAATGTGCCAGGGATGTTTAATAATTTTCCATTAAGCATATTTATCAGTATAGCATTGTGAATACAAAATTGGTCAAATATAATAATGTTTTTTGCTATTTTGTTTTCAAAATATGTCGATTTAACTTTGTGTATTTAATGAGTTTTAATAGCCGTATTGTCTT